GGTAATATATATAATTTGCGTGGAATTTGAGATAATTGTGTTATTTCATTTTCTATTTTTTATTACTTTGAGGTGAAAGTGAAGTTTTCTTTATTTATGAACAAAATAAAGCAAAATTTATTACTGTTATGTCTTGGTGGATTGTGGTTAAGAGTGAAACTGGACTAAGCTAGATCGATCCTTGTCCAGACAAACTCAAGCCTATAATAAAAATGTTCAATTTGACCTGGTCCGATAGCATAGTATGAGTCTAACTGTTAGTTTGACCGGACCCATTTATTAAAAATAAATGATCTGGCCTAGTCCGTTAACCTGTTAATTTTAACTTTTAAGTAAAACCAAGAATCAACTTCACAAAAACTCAGATTATGTTGTTAAAACAAAAATCAAAATTTCAACATTCAAATAGAATCATAACCACAATTATAACCGTTAGATTGGCGAAAATCAGCGGTTAAGATTTGGTAGTAAAAGATAGTAAGAAAAAAATATAATAAGTATAACTTCTCCAAAAAATATTTTAATATATTCATATACACAATTAACATGCTAAGATGTTGGTTCTTCCTACATAAAAAATAAAGTCAAATTTCTATTAAAATTTAATCGAATATAATTAAATTATAAAAGAATTTTATTTGATTAGATTTATACCTTATAATTTTTCTTCAAGCCATACTTATTTTATTTTATTTAAAATAAATAGTACAATATAGCTCAGTCAGTAGACTTATAGGCCCGACCTTGTAAAACTGGACCTATGACCTATTTATTAAATAAGCTTTTTTCAATGCCTAAATTCGACTTATTTTACGAAATATACGAGGTCAGGTCTGGCCTAACGTAGGTCGAACTGTAGGTCCTTGTGGGCAGATCTGACTCAATTTCACCCCTGATCGTGGTTAGTATAAAATATGTAAACTAGCGGTATTTATGAAAAAGATAATCAAGTGTGATGACAGATTACTATGCACAGATAATAAGTTGAGACTTGAGAATTGAATTAAGTAGGGGTGTTCATCAACCGATCTAAACCGATTCAAACTGTGGTGACCGAACCGAAAAACCGATAACCGAATAAACCGAAAACCGAAAAATCGAAATCCGAAAAAAATCGCAAATTTTAATTGAATTGGATCGGGTTTTGGATGGGTTGATGAAAACCGATCCAATCCAAACCGATCCAATATATTAATTTTCCTCTACCTACTTTGGTCTTTCTCCAATCATAGCCTAAAAATTTCTAAATCCAAAACCCATTAACCCATCAACTAAACCCAAGAAAAAAATCTAGTCCCATTTCATCAACAAAATTTTATCTTTGTAGAGCTTCGTATCTCATTTCCAAAAAAAGAAAACTATATTATAGTTTACTAATGCTTTTGTATTTAAAATAATAATAATTTACAAAGCCAATATATACAAAATATGTTATTTGCACCATAATCATGAAATAAATTTTAAGATTTTCAAAAAACCGAAAACCGATCTAATCCAAACCGAAAAAATTTGAATTGGATCGGATCGGATTTGAAAAAAAAAATGAAACCGAATTGATGATTATATAATCAAACCGAAGGGATTGGATCAGATGATTTTTGCTTCCAAAACCGATCCAATCCAGACCGCGAACACCCCTAGAATTAAGTGTGTAGGCATAATATCAGCTAGAAGAATTATGGTTTCAAGAGAGTATATATGTAAGACTTAACATTTTATTTACAGAGAAGTGTACCTCAAGGTGGGTTAGACTCATTTTATAAGACTAAAGTGACCCATTACATATTTACATAGATCCAGAACAATTATAATATTTTTTGTGTTATGCATTACATTACACACAATAGTTTTTTTTTTTATATATTATGAGTAAACTTTTGTAATCTGCTTTAATGGATAATGAATTTAGAAATTACACTATCAGTTGGGTTTTTTTTCTTCTTTTTTTGATAAATCACTTGTTTTTTTTTTTTTTTCCAATACCTATATTATTGTAACAAATAAATAAGATATATCTTTCTTATGTTGTCCCTCATTTTTTTTATCAAATTAAATCAACACTATATGATCATTGGAAAAAATCATTACATAATATTCAAACCTTCAACTTTTCATACACGATGGTTGAAATGAATTATTTCTTTCTTTTTTTCATATTAAAAAAATATCCATTTATATTTTTAACCCTAAGCGGATTTACTTATTTGGAGCTGCAGCCATGAATCTTCGAAAATGATCAGAATGTTCAATATTTGCTCGTTAAAATTATGAAGAAATCAATCTAGTTCAGGCTCAATAGAGAGGTTTGACTCATTTCATTGACTTGCCTCTCTGAGAACTTACTCCACAAACTCATGTGAGATGTGACTATGGTTGTTATATTGCCTTGCATTGTACTCATTCATTTCATATGATTGTACTTGCTCCCAAAGATAGGCACGGAATTATACCTATTCCATTCATATTTATTTGAATATAATTCGATTTAAAGTTATAAAGATGTAATATTTATTTACAAAAATACCATTGATGAATTTTTATAATTACAAGATTGTCACCGCACAATATTTTAAAATTGAAAAATAAATTGTATTTATTTAGAAAAGTGTCACTAATAAATTCTCATAATTATAAAATTGTCAACGCAAAAATAATAAAATCAAAAAATAATTTTTAAGAACACCTCTAAGTTGTTCACATTTTTAAATTTTAAAAAATAATTTTTTTTATTATTTTGGGAGTTATTTTACAAAATAATCAATTTCAAACAAGTTTTTTTTTTCTCTTTCTTTCTAAAAACTAAAAAACGGTTTTTAGAAACATAAATCAAACAGGCCCGAGTTTCTATATAAACCATGATGAATTTTGTACTTAGGATAATTAGTCTAGCAATTATTAATTAATATAATTTAGTTTTAAAATTTGTTATTTATGTTGCTTTAATTACCGAAAAATTTGTTCATATAAATGGGTATGAAAAGATAAACTTCTTAACAATTGACAACTTATATTAACAGCATAAATAAATAAAAATAAAATAACGTAACTAAACTTTCTCAAGAATTAATCCTACATACAAGAACAGAATCAACTTATATCAATACAAGTATAATAAGTTTTATATTTAATCTTAGTAATTGGTTTACGTGCATCAAATAACTATAATTTATTATATTACACTTATTAATCAATTAGTGGTGTACCAAAATTCAAGATTTCTGATCCAGGTTTAACTTAACATATTGATTACACAACAAAAAAAACCATGGAAGTACTTTGATTTATTAAAAATGTGAAAACAACATTTAGAGTGTAATTTTCTTTGATTTTAGATCATTAATAAGAGTACTATGACTTATTTTGGTTCAGAAAAAATTCGTAGGCTTCTGGATTTAAATGTTATTATAATATTATTGTTGCAAATTCAAACTGTGTTTGTGAGAGATAAAATATGTCAAATGAGGTGTCATTGCGTAATCTCGAAAAATTACATGAAATAAAAAAAATTATCAGATTGGGATATCCGAGTCAAAAGTTATAGCCTTCTAAAATTTTACGACTAAACTCTTGCTTTTTTGTGCCATGTGTCAACACCGATGAGTCATGCCTAAGTTAGGCATGAATGATCACATCCAAATTAGACGTGAATAACTGCAATTTATTCGTAAATAGTTTCGAAACAGCTATATATTTGTGATTATTTATTAAAATAATAATATTTTAATTTTTTTGCCTAACTTATTATATATATATATATATATTGTTTTTAATCAAATCATATTAAATGTAGTAATGGAGCCACATTGGTAACTACTGGTATCTTGGCATGAACTGCCTTTCAACAAATATTACTTATGCCCAAAAAAATTGGTTGATTTTATGAATTTTATTTTTACCTTGGTACCTTGGCATTAGCTGCTTGTCATGTCTGCCTTTCAACTTGATTGGTTTTGTGATATTTTTTTCTTAAAAAAAAAAACCCAAAAAATAGACTTGATCACTTAAGCCCAATGACCTTGGGCTGATGAGTTTTTGTTAAAAAAATAATGGAGTTATTAATTTTGTAATTTACTGTAGGGAATTAAAAAATATAAAATATTTTAAAAGTAAAAGTTAAATAAATAATGCAGAAAATTAAAAAACAAAATAAAACATGAAAGTGAAGAAGATGGTAGGCACTATTCACATTCATTATATTATATGAGCTTTTATTCTACAATTTATTTATGGGCTTTATACCTTTCTCGCATAGCATCAGAATTTTCTCTAGAGAAAAGCAAGTGCGAGATCTAGAGTGTGCAAAATAATCAAAAAATTGAACTAAATCATGAATTGAACCGAACCGCCCGTTAAAATAATCGATTTTTAAAACTAGTTCACGAACCGAACCGGTTTTTAAAAAATCAGTTCATGAACCGAACTGGATTTTAGAACCAGTTTAAGAACTGAACCGATTTTTAAAGAACCAGTTCATGAATCGAACCGGATTTTAGAACCAGTTTAAGAACCGAACCAGTTTTTAGAATCAGTTTAAGAACCGAACCAGTTTTTAGAACCAGTTTAAGAACCGAACTATTTTGAACCGAACCAAACCGTTTACGAACCGAACCGAACCGTTTTCAAACCGAAACAAATTGATTTTTATAACTTTATTTTTTAAATTTTAATTTTTTTTTTCAAAAGAGGGTCGACCCAAACCGTTTCCGAACTGATTTTGAACTTTACCGTTTCCAATCGAACCGAACCACTTTCGAACCGAACCATTTAAACCAATTTGGTTCGATTTTTCAAAAAAATCAATTCGGTTCGACCCATACATATCCCTAGTATATCCCTAATGAGATCTACCATATTTGTTGAAAAATAAAATAAAAAGATGGCATAAATTTTGATAAGTCTATGGCTGCAAAAAAATTGAAGAAATGTTTTACCCTTTATTTATTGGCAATTCCGTTTTTGAAGTTGAAAGCGTCATACTCATACTCATGGAGGTGCGAAAATGACGCGACTAACAGATTCAGATTGAGAACGCTGTTTAGTTGTGAGTGTAGTGTGTAGTGTGTGCACCACTCCATCTCCATTTACTCATACAACACTTCCTTTTTTCCTTTTTTTCCTCATTATTTCCACTTCTCAGTTCGATTCCCAAAACGACCCAATCGAATTTGAAACCCTAGAAGAGGAAGAGGAACCGCAATGTGGAAGTGGTTATGGAAAGAGCCAGAGGCACCGCCACCGGTGGTGCTGGTTCCTCCTCTCTTCGACTTCCCTCCGCTTGCGGCGCGCACGAGGATGCTTGAATCCTCCTACGATGTATTGTTCGGGAAACTCGCGTTGAGGTGCCTCTTCAACGATTATTTTCAACAAGCGAGGCATTTCACCACCAGAATCATGCTTAAGCCTATTGATGATCCTCACGTTGATCTCATCGCAACGGTATATCCTCACCTCACATTGCTTCGTTTTCGTTTTCGTTAATTTGTAAAAATCTTTGTTTATGAATTAATTATGCTTAACCTGTTCAGGTTTCAGGTCCGCTTGATCGTAAGCCAGAAGAAAATATTATTGGAAATGCGTTATTTCGCTGGCAAAGGTTTTTTTCATTAATTTTTTTTTTTTCTTTCTATTTTATTATTTTGTTTGCATTGCCTTTGTTCTTGTTTTACCGTTTCTTGAGCTTTTTTTTTTTTTTGTGGGTGTGCAGTGATGTTAACGATCCTCATACATTCGTAGACCTTTATGTATCAACGCTGAATCCGTAAGAAGCTTTAACTTCAATGAATCCTTAGGGTATGTTTGGGAAATCGGGTTTTGGAGGGAAAGGAAACAGAGGGTAAGGCCCTGTTTGTTTTATGTTCTTGAAAACAGTTTTATGTTTGGGTACCTGCTTTTTATCTTATTAATCTCCATATTTTGTTTTTAGAATAGAAAAACAAGAACTTGTTTTTGTTTTCTTGTTCTTGCTTTTAGGGATTTTTTAATGTTACTTTAAATCACCACTCCCACTGGAGGTGCCAGAGCTGTGACCAGAGCTTCCTGAATCCTGCCACCACCACTGATGCCACTAGTATCATCAAGCTTTGGAAACTTATTCTCAAAGTTATTCATATAAATTTTTTTATTTATGTTTTTATTCTATAAAATAATTCTAAAATACAATTCTATGAAACAATTTTCAAAACAAATAACAGAATTGAACATGCTTCTAAATTTTTTCATGTCAAATAAATATTTTACAATTTAAGAATTTTTTTTAGAATGAAAGGAAAAAATGATATATTATCATGAATCCTTCCAATCATGCTTTATTAATTTTTTTAAACTATATAACTCTCTTAATTAACCCACCCTTGTTGGTCGGGGTTTGATGGAGAGTGGTATTTAATGGAGAGTGGTATTTTTTTTATATATAACTCTTAATTCATAATTAAAAACTTTAGCCTACCTTCTTTTCTTTTGCTCCAAAACCCTCCATCCAATCATCCCCGATTGCTCCCATCTATTTGAAATGGTGAATATTGTGCATGGTCTGTCTCTTCAGAATTTTGCAGATGAGATCGAGCGCTTACTATCCGAAATATGGATTTGGGGCTTTTGGTGTGTTCCCTTTGCTGTTGAAGAAAAGGTGTGTTTTGTTTGATGATGGTGGTAGAAAATGTATTTGGTTTTTATTGTAGTTTTCATATCATCCAAAGATTGCAAAATACAGTGTTGACAAAGTTAATAAATTCTACAGAGAATCCTCTCAAGATTATGGCCTTATGGGGTTGAGATATGGTTCTGGAAATCTATCATTTGGAGTCACACTTATGCCTTTTGCCAGTAAGTTACCTGATTTTAGGTAATGAATGTATTTAACAGATTTATTTACACATGATGCTTGATATTATAGTTTTGTTTTGAACCCCTTTATTAGAAACATTGATTGATTTTGGTTCATGATTGCTCTGAAGTGTTTATGAATTTATTGTCAGAGATATTTTAGAGGCAGGAAATACTCAGATAAGCAACTCATGTTTTTTTTTCCCATTTTCATTATTACCTCCTCCCTGGCTTCCTGTAATCTATGTCACTAGGATGTCTTAATGATAAATCTCAATGGAAGTTTGGATTATTTTCATGAGCTGTATATTGAAATATCTGTTTATTAAAGTTGCAAATAATTCTCTCTGTAAACATTGAAGAAATTTATACATAGCTAGTTGTTGATCTTCCTATGTTTAAAGTTTGAGATTATACTTGTTCTTACCATGGTCACTAAGTTTTACATTTTGTGATGGATTTTTGAAAGTATTGATTTACGATATCTTTAGAGAAGATATGATTATAAACTTTGTAATGTAAATGTTATACTTTGCAGTAAAAGATGAATTACCAAAATGTGCATGGCTGGTAAGCAGGATGGGAAGGGTAACTGCTGGGGTGCAGTATGAGCCACAGCGTAAGAACTACGCAGATTTTATTCGTTTGGAAATGTTTCAATACATTAGTTTTTTTCTTTATTAGAATTATTACATAAGTACTAGTTTTATAGATTAATTTTTAATTTGTTTGGTTCCTGTTTGGTGCATATGTTGAACTCTGTTTATCCTTCTGCTGGTTATTTAGTAATATACTGTTTTGAGCTTAACTTTAGTGCAAGATATTTATTGAAGACATTTGCTTTTGTATATTGTAAGCAGTCATATATGTGATAGGGCAAGAGGGAAAAGTTATATGTTGCCCTCACCTAAAAGTTGACATTATTGTTCAAATCTTTTAGTCGGTATGATTCATGCATTAGTGTTTTGAGTGCTTTCACTGTATTTAAATTTTAGAATAGAACATATGTGACATGAGTCATATGTGTTGTTTATGTTCAAATGTGTGTGTTTTGACAATCGCACATTCAAATATGTGTGTGTTTTGACAATCGCACATTCAAAGCTACAATTGCATGAAAGATGGAGTAATAGATAGAAAGTTAAAAGAAACCATCTCACCTAAAAGCTCAAGCTGTTAAGTGAAAATCCATTAATGGTTTTATATTACTTCTCTCTAAAACACCCCCTCATTCAAGAGCCTTTTTGGCTTGAAGCATGAATATTGCACATGCCCATTTTTTCTGTTCTTCCTTGTGCTAACTTAATTTCCCTAGAAAGTGGGGGCTGTGAGGATCGAACTCGTGACCTCTTAGTCTTGGAGTCTTTGATAACAAGAAAAGAAACTATCTCATTTAAAAGCTCAAACTATTAAATGAAAACCCATTATATTATATCTCTCTAACAGAAAGCAATCTAAATAGGGCTGTGAGTTAGGTACGGTGGGGTAAGGGGATTGAAGAACTTAAACTAATGCTTTATTATTTTTATGTAGTTTCAGGAAATTGGATTTTATGGATGAACCAAAAAGGTCACAAAAAACTATAAGAATGTTTTGAGCATATTAAGTAACATGAGGTATACTTGTATTGAGTATGATATTTAAACTAATGTTACATACCACCTTGTGCTGCTGCTTTTTTAGATAAAAATGCAAAACTTTCAAATTTGATGAATTGGAGTTGTGCCTTGGGCTATGGTGGGGGATCAGGCAGCCCCTTGAGTCCATCCTTCAATTTCAATCTTGAGCTTGTCAAAAGCTCTCAGGTATATCCACATACTTAAATTGATTAATATTTTGCATTTATTGAATACTTTGGAGAACTTGTTGCTGGGCAATGATGTGACATTTTTGCTTCTTCAAATGGAAAGTTTTGTAGTTTTTGAGTGATTGTTATCATTAAATATTTCACCAATCATCTTATTGGAATCAATATTAAATTTTGTATCAACCTGCTGTGTGATATGCCTTAGACATATGATGGTGGAATTTAAACTTAAATCCATTGAATCTTCTAGGGATTTTTCTGCCCTAATATGTGATTTGTGTAGTTCTAATTAATATTTTGAGAAGCATTTTACTGAAATTTCAAAGTCTAAACAATCTGCAGTTTATTGCCTCATTCTATCAGCATATGGTTGTTCAAAGAAGGGTATGTTTCTTTGGTGCACACTCTCTCTTTTCATTGTCTCTTATGTTATTTTTTCCCAAACACATTGATGCTTAAATTTGTTTGATGTTAGTCTTATCTCTTAACATTAAATTTCTTACCAGTGGTTTTTTTTTCTCGTAATCGTAAATAGTAATCGTAAATATATACGTTTAAGTTAAAGACATAATGGAAAGCGGTTGGTGGAGGGATCATCTATACTTATTTTCTGTCCTCTGGTTTGGTTTTTCTTGCAATACCTTGCAAGATAATATGTATGGATGCACTGAATTTTAGCTCTTATTTGTATCTTATACATATTAGATACATAATTTATTTATTTTTTCCTTTTTTTAAAATCAGTTAATACAACAAGATTGAAACAGATGAAGCCTGATTTAAAATTTACAAAATGCATCAAGACTATTTCAAATGTTTCAAGACCCACAAACATTTTGTAATACTACTGAATTGCTTTGAATCAGAATTCAGATTTCAGAATTATGCAAAAGCATAACAAAATGGACTAAAAATCATGTGAAACCTATGAAAATCTATAAATAAGTAAAAGATTTTGTACAGTTTAAATTGAAAATGATGTGTAATATTTGTTATTTAAATTTTTGTGAGTATATATATTTTAATTTTGTACTTGTTCTTAAATTTTTAAAAAATTACCATATCCCTGTATTGTGTTGGGTCAGATATAATACTTACACCTATTGCTTAGCTAGCAAGACTACACTGTTAGTCTTGGGTTACTGATGGGTTGGGGTCACTACATGAATAGGTATTTTAATTAGAAGTTTATTTACCCATTACCCGGGCCTATTTTTTGAGTTATATTTTGGATGCAGATTCCTTGCAATTTGATACAGGTCTACCTTTATGCAGATAGAATTCCATCAAGGCTTGCTTATTATTCTTGTTAAAATTCACCCTGTTTCAATCTTATTGAGATATGCTATTTTCTTGTACTGAGTTGTAGTAGACTAACATATAGTTCTTCTTGAATCAGAATATAATATACTTTTAAAGTCATATACTTGAATTTAACAGGTGAAGAACCCCCTTGAAGAGAATGCTGTTGTTGGAATTACGAATTATATTGATTTTGGGTTTGAGTTACAAACAAGGTATTCTTTTTGGCCTAAAATATATATTAAAACATGGGTGCAGTTGCACCAATGTGTTTCAATCTAATTTTCTTTGCGTCAAAGTGTTGATGATGCCATAGCAGCAAACAATATCTCAGACTCCAATTTTCAAATAGGCGCATCGTGGCAAGCCAATAAAAACTTCTTGCTGAAGGTAAAAAAATTGATGCAATGTTATACAGGTTTCTATAGATTATTTAGGATTTACTCAAGTAGACTATGTCTCATCTTTTCAGGCAAAGGTTGGACCACGTAGCTCATCAATGGCATTTGCATTTAAGTCATGGTGGAAACCTTCTTTTACTTTCAGCATTTCTGGTGCGTTCGGAGGGATTTTTCTATACAATCTTGCTTCAATTCATTATCGCCCGATCTTTCCTTTAGTGGAATTTTTCTTTTCCTTTTGCATGTGTGTATTAGCATCCGAGAATATGACACTTCTAACCTAGTTATTCAGTTTGTATTTATACTATATCCTGCATACGTTAAATCGGCTGTATTTTCTATAATATTTAGGCCAACATCTGTTTAGCCATAATACCATGATCAATGGTGGACTTAAGTTGAGGCTCTTTTGAGGGGATTGGATGGGGGAGGGGAAAGGAAGATTGCTTCCTTAGTGTTTTCAAAGTTTGAAATATTCCTTTTTACATTCTGTATTATTGGTGGAATTTATGTTTGCTACCTTTATGTTTTTCCCCTAACAAATGCTGATTCTGTTTTTATTTTGGCCGCTCCAAAGTCCTAGTTCTATTTCTACCCTTGACCAAGGTTAAGTATCAACTGCACTAGATGGCATGCTTGTCCTCTGTAAAGTATGTTTCGGAATGTGATGTATTGTGTTCTGGATGTATACCACCTCTGTGATATCATTTTATTGGCGTGTGGTGTGTGCTCTCTCATTAGTGGATAAACAATTTTTGTGGGAGGTGGTAGACATGATAAATGGTCTAAGATCTATAATGTGAAATAGTTCTCAGTTTCTCATCCTGTGAGATTTCCTTATGTGAAATCTGATGATTTGTGTAGTACTTCAGATTATAATTAAGCAAACTTAAATGGAAATGGTAAGTCAAATGTCTAGATTATTTTTTGTACCTCTGAACATATATGCGATTATCTCTGCTATAAAATATTTGACTGGGCCCACTGGCCGAGGGAAACAAGGAATGAAGTTTCTTTTGCTCCTTTTTTAGGTTTATTTTTTGTTTGTGGTGGTTCCTAGTTTGCTTGTAAAGAAAATGTCATCCTGGTGCTGGATGTTCTAGTGTTGACGATTTCCTGTTTTTCTGCAGCCACTAGAGATCGTGCTGATGGTAAAATGCAATATGGATTTGGCATCCAAAGTGAGAGTCTAAGAGAAGCCAGGTTCATTTCTTTGCAAGAACTTCTATGTTTTTGATTCAAAAACTTATCTGCTAATAAAGCAAGGCTTGTACACGTGCTGCTGCATGTTATAAAATCAGAATGGCTTTCAGCTTTAGTGTTTTTTTTTTTATTAATATTGAGCTCATGTCATGATAATCGATATGCTCTTTCTAAAATTGTACCTTACATTGGTAAGTTTGCACGTTTACTTGGACTTGTTTGCAGTTATCAAAGAGCTGATCCCAATTTTGTAATGCTCACGCCAAACAAGGAGCACCTAGCAGAGGGCATTGTCTGGGAAACAGGGAAGCGACCTATGCTACAATCTGACATAGATGCCGGACATTTTGATGGCTTACCCAGGGAATTAAGACCTTTTGATAGAATTTTGTAATTTCTTTTTTTAGCTCCATTTTTCCTCTTGTAGATAATGCATGTAGTCTAGGGCACTGCATTCACTCAGTAACAAGAATGTTAATGCGATATGCTGCATTTTTTATGTTAGGGATCTTGCTTATTGTGCACTTTTGATGGCTTACGGATCAGCATTTCTTTTCTCAGAAAAGATCTCCATGGCTTGTGTGAAAATGCTAAGAAATGTGTGGAGAGGTGTTTTTTTAATTTGTTAATCAAAAGTAGATTTACAAACTTACTTTTAAAAAAGAAAAAACTGTCGAATAAATATACAATAAGATACTATGCAAGAAATAGGGAACAATGGCGATAATGCCATTGTTTAAGAAAAAGCATATCAAATTACCGCGTGAACAGAATTTTTTTCTAAAGTGTCGTGCGTACAAATTTGCTATATAAGGTAACAAACTTAGTTTGTAGATGTGGTACTTTTTTTTTTCTGGTAGTTCCCTATTAGCAATAGTGAACCAAGTGATTAAAATATCAATAAAAAAAAACGCGTGGTAGTCTGATACAAGTTCGCTAGTCAGGCTAGCTAAATACATTGTAATGTTTGCTGTGTGCATTGTGTCGTGCAAGTAAAGTACTATTTCTAGTCTAACTTCTTGTGTATGCACTGTCTAGTGTGTACTATTCTTGTATTCCCAGTCTAACGTAATTATAAAATTATAATGATGGTGTAAAAGTTTTTTACAGTAATACTTTATCAAAAATTAAATTATTTATTTAATGAAAATAAATTAAATAAGAAGAAAGAACAACACAAACATCATGTAAATGCACATTAATTATGGATATGAAATTTGTGTTTATATATTACCTTAATTTGAGCATGAGGGAGAATATTTACGTAGTCGTACATATGCTTCTTTGCCTTTGTAGGGAAGTAGGTGCAATGATTAGGATTTAACTAGGGAAGTAACCTTTTGGGCCTCCTAATTCGTAATATGGTTTCCAAATGCCATGAAATCCCTATGTAATAAGATGAGAATTATTTTTTAGGATTAAGGCTTTGGCTGATTTAGGATTTTTTTCTTGTTTACCATAGGCTTTTGAAGTGGATTTAAAATTAGTTGTCGGCAAGGAAAGAGTAGAGGGAAGAGACTCCTCTAAAATTAACTTGTATAAAAAATAAGCAAAGTAAGAATATATTAATTTAAAAGTGCATATTGATTTTATTTGAAGGTGCACATTAATTTTAATCTATTGAAATTTTAAAGGTAAATACATACACATATTTATTTTAAAAGGAACTTTTTCCAAAATGAAGATTTGGGCAGTGGGAGATGCAGTAAAATTAATAAAAAAAATGTAAAATCGTGATGTTCACAACAGTGCACACGCTGTTGTTGTGCAAGTAAAAAGGGACTCATTCATAATGCCAATGTCAAATCGCGTTAAAAAATAGTACATCTGAGACACTGTAATGTAGTTTGCTAGCCTTTCGCGTCTAGCGAACTTGTATCCACATGTTCTTTTTGCTCACCTAGTTCGCTACTTGCAGTAGAAAACTATCACCAGAAAGATGCCACACCTACAAACTAAGTTTGTTATCTGATGTAGTAAACTTGTATGTGTGGCACTTTGGGTATATTTTTTCTTAAACAATGATATTATGATCACTGTTCCCAAGAAATAGATCCAGAAACTACTCGATTTGGTTATATATATATATATATATATATGGGATATAATCCTTTGATATCGGTGTCAAATTTTAAAATTTGACACCAAATTCTGACTGTTGATTTTCACCAATCAACGATTATTTATTGAGAATTAATAATTAATTAATTAATATGTTTGATTCCAAATAAATGATAATCGTTGATTGATAAAAATTAACGGTTAACATTTGGTGTCAAATTTCAAAGTTTGATATCGGTGTCAAAGGATCATGCCCATATATATATATATATATATATATATATATATATATATATATATATATATATATAGGGATAGGATCAATTTACACTGGTGTAAGAATAATAAATCTTACACTAAATCTTAACTCGTTGATTTCCGTGCATCCAATGGTTGAGATTTATTGAGAATTAAAAATTAATTAATGAGTGAGACCTAATAAATCTTAACCGTTAGATGTAGAAAATCAATGATTAAGATTTGGTGTAAGACTTATCATTCTTACACCGGTGTAAGATGATCCTGCCCCATATATATATATATATATATATATATATATATATATATATTCTTAAAACTATTTTGTTGAATAACTAATAAAATAGGTATATATTCTTTTGTGTTTGTTAGGTAGATGTTATATTTACTACCAAGCAACGTTTGAAAAATTGGCTAAGCTTCCATTTGGATCAGTTGTGCAATTAACTTGGTTTGGATCGGTTGACTTGACTAGGTCTCAGATGACCCGATGAGTCATACGAAACCCGGTTTGATTCAGTCACTCTGTTTATTTTTTATATTTTTTGGTTATATTTTTAGTTCATAGGTTATAAATTTTGGCTCCACTCTGCTTTAGTTCGTGTGAAATTATTGCTTGCTTTTTCTTTGATGTTGATGATAAGGAGTTTGACATTTTTGTTGTTGGTTGAAAATGACTATGGTCGTTTCTGGTAGCTATAAGGGTGTTATGAGACCTTTTTCTTTTATTATATAATGCAATGCATCTCATCATTTGTTTGAAAACAACATGCATTGGTGATTAAATAAACCTGTACATAAACTTTGGCCTTGAGCAATGAAAACTACAATCCTTTTTTGGCTTTTTGCATAGTAGAAGTATAACCCAATAAGCTTGAAAAAATATTTCTTGTGATATGGGTATCTTTTGCTTGCTGCATAATAGGTTGCCACTTTATTCATCACTCTAATATGAAGAAGTTTCCATTATTAATAGTTTTCTTTTGTGTATTTTTAATATAAGTAATGTATTTATATATTTTTAATATATGAACAGCATATTCAATATTGAACCCGGTTGAACCAATGACCCAGTGATACAGACAGTACTTTGACCGAGTTGATGTCTGGTTTGAGTTTTAAAACAATACTACAAGTCAGTTTAGTTTATGTTATTTGATACAAGTGTTTTTTTTTTCCAACCAATTTCCTCTTCACTTTTGTCCTTCTATCATGTTTTGTTAACTACTATCCAACGGTTATAAAAAGGTAATAAGAGGTGATAAATTTATTTGATAATAAGTATAATATTTTTTTTAATGTCAAAAGTCAGAATATAAAATAAAAATAACTGAGATATGTGTTTGATTGTGTTTTGATTATTTTTTTTTGTTCATATAACTATTTTATAGAATTGTTAAAAATTAGAGTTTGTTTGTTGTGATGTATAAGGTTTGATAGTATAAGCTTATACTATACGTTATGACATTTTCAGTTGTTTGGTGTGACCATCATATAGTATAAGCTTATACAGCAGGACCCCTTTATACATCAAAATAATGTATAACTTAATCCGGCCTAGTAGTGATGGATTAGGCCTGATAAGAGATTGATGTATTAATATTGCTTACAAGTACAATTTCCAAGAACTAATATATCATTTCAATATTTATATATTAATTTTTTTTAATATATTAATTTTTAAAATATTAGAGGATATTATTTTATACAATATCATATCAAACGCTGGATAGTATTAAAATTTAATCAGGTCTTATACAATCAAGTCTTATACTATCAAATCTTGTATTATCAGACCTTATCTTATAAAATGCACTAAACATGCCCTTATACTTTGTCAGACTTTTTTTTTTTAAGTTAAAAATTAAAATTAGAATTAATTTTATAAAACAGATTTATCAAATAATTTTTTTTTCTGAAAATTAAAAAAATGTTTTAAAAACAGAATTCAAACTTTAAATGCTAGTGGGTATTGTGATAAATCCGTTTTCGAGGTCGAAAACGTCATGTTCATGGAGTCGTGAAAATGGCGCGCGACCAACCGATTCTGATTGAGAACGTTCTTGAGTTGCGTGTGTAGTGTGTTATGATCCTATAAATTTGACATAAAAGTCCACGTTCCAGAAGATCCAAAAAGAATAATAATTAAAGGAATATTAAGAAAATATTTTTTAAATATATCAATCCTATTTTTTAAATATATTAAATAAAGAAGCGAACTAGTAGTGATAAAACTGTTATTTTATGACTGAAAAGTTATACGTACAAAGATTTCCTTCACTCACACTCGCTCTAGTCAGGTTTAACTGGCAGTGGTTTATTTTTGTTTGTTAATAAGTAAAAACCTTTGTTTATGAATTAATTGTGCTTAACCTGTCCAGGTTTCAGGTTCGCTTGATCATGAGAGTGAAAACAATATTAATGGAAATGCTTTATTTCGCTGGCAAAGGTTTTTTTTTTTCTATTTTATTATATTGTTTGCATTGCAGTGCCTTTGTTCTTTTACTAACGTTTGTTGAGCTTTTATGTTTTTTTTTTGTTGTTGTTGTTGTTGTTGTTGTTGTAAATATTATGTTTTTTTTTTGTGTGTGGGTCTGCAGTGATGTTAACGATCCTCGTACATTCGTAGACTTTCAAGTGTCAACACTGGATCCGTAAGAATCTCTAATTAACCTGCATGAATATTTAGGTAGTGTTTAGTAGAAGATTTATTTTGAGATTGATGGCAAAATATAAGTGGATATTGAGAAATATCACGTTTGGTTCAGATTTTTAAAAAAAATACTAGGCAAATAGGATAAATAGGAAAATGACTTTTGTGTTGATTTTTGGATGAAATTTACTGTTACAGAATACCACTTGAGATGTGGTATTTTGAGATAACTGGGGAAGTGAAAAAATAGTTGCGAAGTTTCTCTCGAACATAGATTTTGCAAATTTAAATAAATTTCCCTCGTAATATTTCGGTCAACCAAACAACTTTTTTTACATTTTCCTACCAAACTTATTTTCCAACCATTTTCCTAGTAATTACATTTCCCTAGTATTCAAAAAATTTCTCATAAACTTAAGATATGTTTTGGATATCAGGTTTTGGAGGGAAAGGAAACAGTGGGTAAGGGCTTGTTTGTTTTGTGTTCTTGAAAACAGTTTTATGTTTTTGGTTACCCGCTTTTTATCTTATTAATCTCCATATTTTGTTTTTAGAATAGAAAAATAACAAGAACACTTTGTAGTTGTTTTTGTTTTCTTGTTCTTGCTTTAATGGAATTTTTACTATTACTTTAAATCACCAAATCACCACTACCACTTAGAGTATCATCAAGCTTTGGAAACTTATTCTCAGTTATTCAAATCATTTTTTTTATTCTATAAAATAATTCTAAAATACAATTCAATGAAACAATTTTCAAAAACAAAAAACAGAATCAAACATGCTTCTAAATTTTTTAATTTCAAATAAATATTCTACTATTTAAGAAATTTTTTAGAATGAAAGGAATACATGATAGATTATCATGAATCCTTCCTATCATGCTTCATTCATTTTTTTAATCTACGTAACTCTTAATGTAGATTGGTATTTTTTTTTATGTATTACTCTTAATTAAAAATTAAAAATTTTAGCCTACCTTCTTTCCTTTTGCTCCAAAACCCTCCATCCAAACATCCCCGGTTGCTTTCATCTATTTGAAATGGTGAATATTGTGCATGCTTTGTCTCTTCAGAATTTTGCAGATGAGATCGAGCTCTTATTATCCTAAATATGGATTTGGGGCTTTTGGAGTGTTCCCTTTCCTAATGACGAAAAGGTGTGTTTTGTTTGATGATGGTGGTAGAAAATGTGTTAGGTTTTTATTGTAGTTTGTACATCATCATCAACATTGCAAAATTTGACAAAACTAGCAAATTCTACAGAGAATCCTCTCAAGATTATGGCCTTATGGGGTTGAGATATTGTTCTAAAGATGTATCCCTCGGAGTCACATTTATGCCTTTTGCCAGTAAGTTACCTGATTTTATGCTAATGAACATATTTAACAGATTTATTTATGGGTTTGATGTTTGTCATTTTAAATAACATAATTTATGTCATTTTAGAAGAGAGATAGACACAAAAAATAAAAATTATGGGGGGAAAAGTAGGTGGTTTTTTTTTAATTAAAATTTTAAATAAAAAAATATTTTCTTGTATCTATCTTTTTCGTAAAATGACATAACTTTATGTCATTTAAAATGACAAACACGTGATGCTTGATATTATAGTTTTGTTTTGAACCACTATATTACAAACATTAGTTGATTTTGGTACGTGGTTGTTGTTAAGTGTTTATGAATTTATTGTTAGAGATATTTTAGAGGCAGGAAATACTCAGATAGGCATCTCATGTTTGTTCCCACTTTCATTATTTCCTCCTCTTTGGCTTCCTGTAATCTAATTCACTAGGGATATCTTAATGATAAATCTCAATAGAAGTTTGGATTATTTTCATGAACTGTATATTGAATATCTGTTTATTAAAGTTGCAAAATAATTCTCTTTGTAAAAATTGAAGATATTTATATATAACTAGCTATTTGTCTTCCTGTGGTTAAAGTTTGAGATTATAATTGTTCTTACCATGATCACTAAATTTTACACTTTGTGATAAATTTTTGAAAGTATTGATTTACGATATCTTTAGAGAAGCTATGATGATAAACATTGTTATCTAAATGTTATACTTTGCAGGGAAAAATGAATTACCAAAAAGTGCATGGCTGGTAAGCAGGATGGGAAGGTTAATTGCCGGGGTGCAGTATGAGCCACAAGGTAAGAACTACACAGATTTTATTCGTTTGGAAATGTTTCAATATATTAGTTTTTTTTTTCTTCATTAAAATTATCACATCAGTACTAGTTTAAACCACTCCCAGTTAAACTCGACTAGCGAGTGTGGGGTGGATGCAATCTTTGTACGCAACTTTATCCTTGCATAATCAAAAAGATATTGTTTTCTGGATTCGAACCCGTGACCTTTCAGACATTAAAGAACAGTTTTACTACTGTTCCGGTTCGCCTCCTTTATCACATCAGTACTAGTGTTATAGATTAATTTTTAATTTGTTTGGTGCATATGTTGAACTTTGTTTATCCTTCTGCTGGGTATGTAGTAATATACTGTTTTGAGCTTAACTTTCGTTCAAGATATTTTATGGAAGACATTTGCTTTTGTATATTGTAAGCAATCATATACATATGATAGGGTAAGAGGGAAAAGATATATATTGCATTCACCTGAAAGCTGACATTATTGCTCAAATAATTTAGTCAGAATGATTCATGCATTGGTGTTATTGAGTGCTTTCACTGTATTTAAATATATATGATAGTGCTTTCACCTGAAAGCTGACTTATCAATGGTTTATTATTTTCATGTAGTTTCAAGAAATTGAATTTTATGGATGAACCAAAAAGGTCACAAAAAAACTAAAAGAATTTTTTTAGCATATCACGTAACACCAGGTTTTACTTGTATTGAGTTGATATTTAAACTAATATTATATACCACCTTGTGGTGCTGCTTTTTTAGATAAAAACACTAAACTTTCAAATTTGAAGAATTGGAGTTGTGCCTTGGGCTATGGTGTGGGATCAGGCTGCAGCCCCTTGAGTCCATCCTTCAATTTCAATCTTGAGCTTGTCAAAAGTTCTCAGGTATGTCCACATACTTAAATTGATTAATATTTTGCATTTATTGAATACTTTGGAGAACTTGTTGGTGGGAGATGTAAAGAACTTTGAGATACACCACCCCAAAAGTTAGCTCAAATGGTGAGAGTGCCTAAGGCCTTATAAACTCCACATTAGTTGCACATACAACCAATGTGAGACTATATATCTCAACACGCCCCCTCACACGAGAGTTCACTGGGCTTGAAGGGTGGACAATGACAGGCCCAATTTTTGATCTACCTTTTGTGCTTTTTTATTTTAATTCCAATTTAGAGTGGGAGGCGGTGAGGATCAAGCTCTGATACCATGTAACTCCACATTAGTTACACATACAACTAATGTGGGACTATATATCTCAACAAATGACATGACATTTTTCCCTCTTCAAATAGAAAGTATTGTAATATGTGAGTGATTGTTATTGTTAAAGATTTCACCAACCATCTCAATTGAATCAATATTAAATTTTGTATCAACCTGCTCTATGATAAGCCTTAGACTTGTGATGGTGCAATTTAAACTTAAATCGATAAGTTTTCTAGGAATTTTTCTGCCCTAACATGTGATTTGTGTAGTTCTGATTAATATTTTGAGAAGTATTTTACTGAAATTTCAAAGTCTAAACAATCTGCAGTTTATTGCCTCATTCTATCAACATATGGTTGTTTCAAGACGGGTATGTTTCTTTGGTCCTTGTACTCTCTCTTTTAATTGTCTCTTGTTTATCTTTTTTTCCAAACATATTGATGCTTTATTTGATGTTAGTCTTATCTCTTAGCATTAAATTTGTTACCAGTGGGGTTTTTTTTTTATATAGTAATCTTAAATATATACGTTTTTCTGAAAGACATAATGCAAGATAAGATGTTTGGATGCACAGGATTGTAGCTCTTATTTGTATGTCATACATACACATTAGATACAGAAAAAAAAAATTCTTCCATTTTTTAAATTAGTTAATACAAGATTGAAACCGATTAAACCTGATTTAAAATTTACAAAATGCATCAAAACTATTTCAAATGTTTCAAGACCCACAAACATTTTGAAACACAAAATCAGAATTCAGAATTCAGAATTCAGATTTCAGAATTATGCAAAAGCATAACAAAATAGACTAAAAGTCATGTAAAACCTATGAAACCATATAAATATGCAAAAGATTTTGTACCTTTTAAATTGAATATTACGCGTAATATTTGTTATTTAAATTTTCTAAAGTATATATATTTTAATGTTGTACTTGTATATGAATTTTTTTAAAAAAGTTACCATATCCTTGTATTTTGTTCTGTCAGATACAATACTTACACCTGTTTCTTAGCTAGCAAGACCACACTGTTAGTCTTGGTTTTAGTTATAGGACTTCAGTAATTTCCTTAGTTGTTGAGTTGGGTCACTACATGAATTGGTATTTTGATTAAATTACCCAGGTCTATTTTTTGAGTTATGTTTTGGATGCAAATTCCTTGCAATTAGATACAATTCCATCAAGGCTTACTTATTATTCTTGTTGAAATTCAACCAATTTCAATCTTATTGAGATATGCTATTTTCTTTTACTGAGTTGTAGTAGACTAGCACACTTAATTCTTGTTGAATCAGAATATATTATACTTTAAAAGTCATATACTTGAATTGACCCCCTTAAAGAGAATGTTGTTGGAATTACGAATTATATTGATTTTGGGTTTGAGTTACAAACAAGGTACAATTTTTGGTCTCAAATATATATATTTAAGAGTAAATACTCTTTTTGGTCATCAGCAAATTTCACGATACCCGCTTTAGTCCCTAACAAATAAAAAGGCTATTTGTGGTCCTTAAGAAATTCAAAATGGACCCATTTAGTTGAAATCTTGATCCCTCGCAAATTCAAAAAAGGTCCACATTAGTCCCTCAAAAGGATTAAATTGAGTCCACTTTGAATTTCTTAAGGACAACAAATAACTTTTTTATTTGCTAGAGACTACAGCGAGCATCGTAAAATTTACTGAGGACCGAAAATGGTATTTACTCTATATTTAAACAAGTGTGCAATTCCACCAATATGATTCAATCTAATTTTCTTTTGTGTCAAAGTGTGGAAGATGCCATAGCAAACAATATCTCACTCTCAAATTTTCAAGTAGGTGGATCGTGGCAAGCCAATGAAAACTTCTTGCTGAAGGTAAAAAAAAATTGATGCAATGTTATACAAGTTTCTATAGATTATGTAGGATTCACTCAAGTATATATATCATGTCTCATCTTTTCAGGCAAAGGTTGGAACACGTAGCAAATCAATGGCATTAGTATATAAGTCATGGTGGAAACCTTCTTTTACTTTCAACGTGTCAGGTGCGTTCGGAGAGATTTTTCTATTCAATCTTGCTTGAATTCATGTGTGTATTAGGATATGAGTTTCTTTTGCTCCTTTTTAGGTTTATTTTTTTGTTTGTGGTGGTTCCTAGTTTGCTTGTAAACTACAAGAAAAAACCTATATAACAACGGAATTGTTATGGAAATTTCGTCGTTAATTTCATTCTCGCAATTATTTTCCATCGCAAATTTCCTAGCAAATGATTTTGAGAGAGAATTTATGACGGAAAATAGTTGCGAATATGAATGTTCATGTGCTGACAATGTCCTGTTTTTCTGCAGCCACTAGAGATCATGCTGACAGTGAAATGCAATATGGATTAGGCATCCAAATTGATAGTCAAAGAGAAGCCAGGTTCATTTCTTTGCAAGAACTTCTATTTTTTTGATTCAAAAACTTTATCTGCTAATAAAGCAAGGCTTGTACACGTGCTGGTGCATGTCATAAAATCAGAAATGCTTTCAGCTTTATTTAATTTTTTAATTTTAATATTGAGCTCATGTCATGATAATCGATATGCTCTTTCTAAATTTGTAACTTACAGGGAAGCGACCTATGCTAAAATCTGACATAGATGCTGAACATTTTGATGGTTTACCCAGAGAATTGAGACCTTTTGATAGAATTTTGTAAATTCTTATTTTAGCTTTATTTTTCCTCTTTCAAATAATTATTATTTTCTTTTTTTGGATATTCAAAAAAAAAAAAGTTATTTTGTTGAATAACTTAGCTGCTAAAAAAAAATGTTGAATAAGTATACAATAAGATACTATGAAATAAATAGATTCCGAAACCACTCTGTTTGACTTTTTTTTTTCTTACAATTATTTTATAGAGTAGTTAATGAAATATGTGATTTATGCATTTTGTTTATTTTGGAAGTTAAAAGTCAAAATATAAAATAAAAATAACTTTTTTTTTGGAGTTACCCAACCCTAATTATCTCTTTGAGACGAGTTGGCTCCCTCCGGTATCCCCACGAGCTTCGACTCTTTGAGCCGGCTATGAGACTAATCCGGAGTGCGGGGGAACAGTGATGGTTAAAGGTTCAGCCCCCTCCCCAAGAATGCATTCAGCGGGAATCGAACACATATCCAACCCCACTAACTCAGCGCCAAGTTACCAACTGAGCTGCACCCATTGGGTAAATAAAAATAAAAATAACTTTGATATGTGTTTGATTGTATAAAAACAACTAAAATAAAAACACTAGAGCATCATCAAGTTTTGGAAATTTGTTCTCAAAGTTATTCAAATCATTTTATTTTTATTTTATTCTATAAAATAATTCTAAAATACAGTTCTACGAAACAATTTTCAAAAACAAAAAGCAGAATCAAACAGGCTTCTAAAATTTTTCCATTTCAAATAAATATTCTACAATTTAAGAAAAAAAATTTAGAATGAAAGGAAAAAATGGATAGATTATCGTGAATCCTTCCAATCATGCTCTATCATTTTTTTAAACTATATAACTCTCTTAATTAATCCATTTTGAAATGGAGAATATTTGTTGTGATTTTCTCAGATGCACCGATTCTAAAAGTAATAAAAATGTACGTGAGTACGAGATCGTTCCCACGAGGAAAGCATTTTCTCTCAAATAAATATTCGCGCTTTATTCGGACAAACCAATACGAAAACTTTGAATTTACGAGGATTAGATTTCAAGCATTAGTTCACTATTCGCGCTTTATTTGGACAAACCAATACAAAAACCTTGAATTTAAAATTGAGGTTGATCAAAAGCATAAAACTAAAATACAGTTATAATTTTGAAAGTTAAAATTGTATTTTGAAAGTTAATAAAAAAAAAACAACTTATACGTATTTTCTAAATTTGATTCTAAAAACTAAAATATAGTTATAATTTTTAGATTTATTTTTACAAAACAAGCCTTATTAAATACTTATTTCTTCTTCTAAAATTTAAAAAACTGTTTACGGAAACACAATTCAAACATGTCCTAATTGCCAAAATTTTATCTCCTGCTTTGATCATGGTTCAGGTCGAATTAAAAAGAATATATGTTGATTACCCAAAAAAAAAAAAAATATGCAGGCCAAGTTACCAATTGCTTTAAGCCTGCCTGCTATGGTGCGGGTTGAACTGACTTAAACTGTTTGGACTTCAATGGATTGTTGGGTCAGGTAAGTTAAGATCCGAAAATGGACCAACGACAAAAAAACAAGGTCTATAAATACCAAAAATATTCCAACAGTGGTTAGTTTTTCTAATTAAGTATCGAATCACTTTGGTTTGGAAAGTCGTGGTACAAATTTTATTTGGGACAATGGGCCTTGGCAGGCTTGTGAGCAGGGATGAAAGTGAACTGAGTTAGATTAAGTTTTATCTTGAAAAGCTCAAATTTATGTCAAATTTTTTTAATTTTGTCTGACTCATAGTACGAGTCTAACTATTAGCTTGACTTGACTTATTTGTAAAAAAAACAAATGGTCTGGCCTAGCCCGACCTATTTTACGAAATATATTAGGTCAGGTCTGGCCTGACGTAGGCCAAGCCGTAGATCCCTGTAAGCCGGCTCGGCCCAGTTTCACCCTGAGTTGCCTTTTTCTTTTTTACAATATATAAGATTGAAAAGAATTAATGTTGGTAATACAGTTTTTATATGCTCCTTTTTATTATTAGATAAATCTTATATTAGCCATATTAAATAAAAAAATAGACTCAGATTATTTAGTAAATTTCACGCAAAATTCCTTAATAACAATAATAATAATTAAAGAGTGTCTCATTGTCAATATTTTTTTGTTTTTAGGATTGAGTAAGAATATAAATGGAATTTTGTGTAAAATATTTATGAAATGATATCATTTTCAATCTAGTTGTATGTTCTTATATGCAAAAAGGGTATTTTAGATTTAAGAATAAAGTACATTTTGGATCCCTAGGAAAAAACACGATTTTCATTTTTATCCCTTAAAAAAAAGTCATATTAGTCATTTTTTAAGGACTAAATTAGATTTTCGTTAAATTTTACATTTTCAAAGAACTGGAATTGTAGAAGGACCAAAAACTGACTTTTTCTTTGAAAGGGACGAAAATGGAAATTATATTTTTTGCTAGGGACCCAAAAATGACTTTATTCTAGATTTAACTAGTAATTGCAGACTACGGGATAAGAATAATTTATTTCAAAATAATTTTAATGCTTAATAGTCATGTTATGCCTGTAAAGGCAATTTATATAAAAGCTTTATTAGTCTCCTTTCACATAAGATAATTATCTTATGTTATAGAGATAAAATACGTGGATCTCACCATTACAAGAAAAAAGGAAAGAGTGAGGTCCGAAAATCGAAGTAAAAAAACATAAGAGAATTTATCTTATGTAAAAGAAGAGTAATATTTCCCTTTATATAAAGGTCAATTCCACATTCAATTGTTTTTTCATCAATAAATAAATAAACAAGCATTATATTTCTAAAAAATGATTAATGAATACACTTCACTTTATTTTTTATTTTTTTTTCTGATGTTACACTTTGGGATATAAATAGGTTAGTTTTAACTTAAATAAATTTGACATGTGTAAAAAAATTTAGCCAGCCTACTCACCTGCGTAGACCCAAATTATAAGTCTGACATAATTTATACTTAAAAAATAAAAATCTTAACCTAAGTCTGTTAGTCTGTTTAAGTCTATTAAACATTTAATAATTAAAAAAAATTAAAATAATATTATTTTATTATTCAAAATTATTAAATAATATGATAATAAGTCGATTTGTAAGCTTATAGGCCTGACATGTATAAAAAAACCTATGACCTCTTTTTTAAATAGATTTTTTTAAAAATCTAAGCATGATCTATTTAAATATTTGTAATAGATAAAATTTGACCTAATATAAACTAAATCGTATGTACGCCGAACTCACCTATTTATACCGTTGCACCCATTTGTCAGAGAGGCTTATAGCTACGAAAATTTCTTACCAAAATTTGTTCCAGAGCTACATTTCACTTAAGATGAGTCAGGTAATTCTATAAGATTATTGTTTTATATTATAATGTCAACTAAAGCTCCATCACACACTCACATGACCGAAACTCAAAAATGATCCACCATTCCAACGACCACACATACAAGAAAAAGAAAAAAAAAAAAAAAGGAAAAAATTTACATTAGCATAACAGACATCCTTAGTCCAACCAAAAAAAAACAATGGCTACTTCGTGTTCACTCATTTCCACATTCTTCCATTGTTCTTCCTCATTTTCTCGCTATCCAAACACCAAACCTCTCATCCACCTTTCCAAATCCCTTCATCTTCACACATCCACACACCCCATTTCACCCCCTACCCTCTTCTTCCTTCGCCCTCTAACTTCAACTCCAACTCCAACAAAAACAACAACAACAATTCTTCCCAAACTCACTATACCCAGAAACTTCTTGGATTCTATTCTCATTTTATGCACTTCTCTCGCTCTTTCCTTCACCCTCTTCCTCGCCGGCGCTGATTCCGCCTCCGCCTTCGTCGTCGCCACCCCGAGGAAGTTGCAATCCGATGAACTCGCCACCGTTCGCCTCTTCCAAGAGAACACTCCCTCTGTTGTCTACATAACCAACCTTGCCGTCAAGTAACCATTTTTCATTTTTGGGTTGCAAAAAAAATTAAATTTTTAATGTTTTTTGTTGATGTTTGAGAATACCCTTTTGGTTTGTTTTGTTTTTGTGAATGTTGGTTTTTCGTGTTTAGGCAGGATGCATTTACGTTGGACGTGTTGGAGGTTCCTCAAGGATCTGGGTCGGGTTTTGTTTGGGATAAGGAGGGTCATATTGTGACCAATTATCACGTTATCCGAGGTGCTTCTGATCTTAGGTTGGTGGGTTTTGCATCTTTTGATCCACTTCCTCAAACTTGTACTTTTTGCCTATTGCTTCTAGTTAGAGAACTTGACATGTCTGGTTTTGATTTTTGAGTCATATGATGCTGGCAAGTGGGAACTTTTAAGTCATGCAGGCATATAATGTAATTTATCTAATGTTAAATGGGAGCTCATCTTTGATACATCAGTAGTACATACTACTTCCATTCAAAATCTAACACATGTATTTAAGACCCCACTTTTCTCTATTACATGTCAGCATTAGTGTTTGGTGTTTGGTTTTGATTGGAGGGATGTATAGAAAAGTGGATACATCTGTAGTATTGTAGAAATTTCCGTTAAATGGATGATATGTAACTTGCCTTATATCAAAACAAAAGGGAGGTGATAATGATGTGTGTTACTTTGCACCTCCTTCAATATGGGTGTGTTTGCATTGCATTGAATTAGATATATGATATGTTGGATTCCTTTAATTGAACTCATTGAGCAGAAAGATTGATTGTAAATAGATACGCATGTTTGGATGGCTTAAAATGTGTGAGTGAATTGATTGCTCCTGTTCAAAGAGATGCTAGTGATGTGCAGGGTCACTCTTGCTGACCAGTCAACTTATGATGCCAAAGTTGTTGGTTTTGACCAAGACAAGGATGTTGCTGTGTTGCGGGTTGAAGCACCAAAAGACAAACTCAGGCCTATACCTGTTGGGATCTCTGCTGATTTGCTTGTTGGTCAAAAAGTGTATGCTATTGGGAACCCGGTGAGATGTCCCTACAGATTGATGCATATTGTAAATATGCATTACCTATGAATTTTCCAATAGAGAGATGATGACAATCTTGGTTGAATTTACTATTAATTAAAGCTAGAAAAAGGGTTAGAATTGTTTTCTCATTTAATTTAACAATGTTGTCTGTGTAACTATATTGTCTCTCATAAAATTTATGTTAAAAAAGTATTGGAGATCTGAGTTAGAAATGCTTGCGATGGAGAGCCAGATTTGTATCCCTTTCTGCTCCACAAAAACTGCAGGGCTTCTGATCTGCATCTCTCTATCTAAAAATATGGTTGGATCTCACATGATTTTATTTATTTAATAATTCATGACTTGAATGCTATTTGTTGTTGATGATTGAGGTCAACGTAAATGACTATTTCATTAATTTTCCAATGTGATTCTTGTTTGCAGTTTGGACTGGACCACACTCTCACAACTGGTGTCATCAGGTATGAAAACTGTAAAGTGAATATTTTGGTGTAACTCTTTTTTCATTACCTAAGAAAAGAGTTTCTAATTTGCTATTCCTTTTCCTGTCCTCATGTCAGATTATACATTTGTGCTCAAACCTTTTATTTAGGTGTCTAAACAAAGCAGCAATAGTCTTCTTGTTCTATATGTCAAAACTTTCTGGAGCGATTTTCGAGATGAAATGCACTGTATTGTAAATTTTGAAATAGAAGGACCAGGAAAGATGAATGAAAGATATTGTCAACTATCACTCTTGTCAAGTTCTGTCTGCTATTATGCAAAAGCTAATTAAATCAATAATAAATGAGACAGCTTCCATTGTACCAAAAATAAAAAATGTGACTGCATCCTATGTCAATCTGCTAATATGATTTTTTATAAAGTGAAATATAAATAAGGGGGATTAAGCTAAAGTGACTTTTTGTATCATAGAAACTCATTTTTTTCTTCAAATGGATGGCTTTAATCCCTTTTCTGAATTAAAGAAGCACTTTAGTTTCTGTTGTTTCCTCTTTCTTTGAAGCTTCAACTTTTTAAGCAAGGCATTCCATATGGTAAATACAGTTTGTTTTTAAGATGTGTATGTCATCAACATATGCTCGGCTGATACTTAATAACTTGTAAGTTGGATACTTTGTCCAATCCTTTTTAATTTCGCTTTGTATTGATTGGGTTTTACTGATACATACTTTCTCAATAGTGGACTTCGGCGAGAAATTAGTTCTGCTGCAACTGGTCGTCCAATTCAAGATGTTATACAGACAGATGCAGCAATTAATCCTGGTAATAGTGGAGGGCCACTCTTAGATAGTTCTGGAAACCTCATCGGTATAAATACAGCTATATACTCCCCATCCGGTGCATCCTCCGGCGTTGGATTTTCTATTCCAGTGGACACTGTGAGTTCTTACTTATACCTTTCTTTATAAAGTGCTTCTTCCTGCGCGGAGAGAACTTTCCATGAAAACACACACATTTCTTTTCTCATATCCTCTAGTATAGCTCATGTGCTTCTTATTTCATATATTTAGGTAAATGGAATTGTTGACCAATTGGTGAAGTTTGGGAAGGTCACAAGACCTATCTTGGGAATCAAGTTTGCTCCAGATCAGTCTGTTGAGCAGTTGGGAGTAAGTGGAGTGCTTGTCTTAGATGCTCCTTCCAGTGGTCCAGCTGGGAAAGCAGTAAGTTTATTATTATTTATTTTTATCAACATCAATATCATCAATACCTTTATTCCAAACTAGTTGGGGTCGGTGTCGGTGGTAGATGAACCCAAATTAAAAGTATGAAAAGATTGAGAAAAAAAAAGGATAAAAATAAAATTTAATAGTAGCATAAATTTCATATTAACATAAAAACTTAGACTCTTTACTTCCACCAAAACCAATAAAGCTAATCACAAGAATTGATCCAAGTACCTAGGGCACACCTAATTTATTCTTGTGTAGGCTTCGTTTACCTTATTTTACTAAACCTAGTTACTTTTACTCATAGAAATGCTTCAGCTTGAGTTACTTATACCATTTTTTAATGGTGAGGAATTTAGCTGATGGAGCTGGTCAAATTTCGATTTTTGTAGGGTTTGCTACCAACCAAGCGCGATGCCTATGGTAGACTCATTTTAGGTGACATCATAACATCTGTGAATGGTAAGAAGGTTACTAATGGAAGTGATTTGTACAGAATTCTTGACCAGTGCAAAGTGGGTGATAAGGTATGGTGCTGATTCATTTGTTCTATTGCTCTTGTGTCTCCCCCTGCACAGTCTCTCTTGTTAATTTGAATATAAAGGTGTAACTTTGCCATTTTGAAAACTCTTAGTGCCTGTTTGGATCCTCTTATTTTTAAGCTAGAAGCTACTTATAAGCATAAGCTAGGCCAAACAGATTTTGAGAAAAGCTCTTATAACGAAAAACTTTTTTTTTTATAATGAAGAAAAAAGCTGAAAATTAAAAGCTCCTAGGAGGAGCTTTTTTTTAAGCTCTTATCTGTTTTTCTTGAATTGTGTGCTTTTTTTTAAATGAAGAGTGATAAAGATAGAGAGAAAGATAATTTTCTTGAAATATGTGCTTTTAAGTAATTTTTAAGCTAAAACTTTTATGTAATTTCCAAACAGCTTTTAGCTTATTTTTTTAAGCTCTTTTTTTTTAGTTTTAGCTTATAAGTAGCTTCTAGCTTAAAAATAAGAGGATCCAAACAGGCTCTTACTAAATCCTGGAATTTCCAAAAAAAAAAAAAAAAAGTTATAGGAAAACCCAATATGAAGCTGATTTATTATTTTAGTTTAATACTTAATGATGTTGAAATTCAGGTGATTGTGGAGGTGTTGCGAGGTGACCACAAGGAGAAGATCCCTGTAACTCTGGAGCCAAAGCTTGATGAAACATGATGATAATAAGCAAGTGATCCTGCATGTATATACATTTCATATGCCAGGGAATGCAGCTATTTTCTGTGTATTCTTAGGTTGTTTCTTTATAAAATGGTCCAAATGTACATATGTACTATGGTACTGGCTGCTGATAATTATCTTTCAACTTTTTGATTATGAAACTGTGTAGTATAACTTGCCACATTTATCTGCCCCAATACAACTTTGACAGAAGGGGGAGCACTGGAACAAGCATGTTATTCTATTTATGCTCATTGTGGTGAAGATTTATTCATTTACATGGAAATTGATTATGTTTGATTTTTTTATTTTATTTTTAAATACTGTTTATGTTATCTTTCTTTATTCTAGTAAAGGCAGTTAGAGAGTACCATTGAAAATAATAATGCCAAAATTGGAAAAAACATTTGTTTAATCAGAAATTGACATAAAGGTGTATATGTGTGAAAACTGAAAAGGAAAATATTGTATCGGATTGAATTATTATAATATATATACACAAAATTCGAAACTACTTACTTACATAGATTTATCTTAATTAATGAACAAGATCCTAATTAATCTTTAAGAATAAAATATTTGCTATGACTTTTTTTTTTTTTTTGAAATCAAGTTTGATATGATACTTAAAATACAATGATATTTAAAGATTTTCCATAGTATGGCTCTTCTTTGTTTTCATTTTTAGTTGATATGTTTCCACTGTTAGTTATAAAAATGCTATTTTCTATTTATTTTATTTTTTTAATTTTGTAAATAATTATAAAAATAACAATATCTTGATCTCATTGCATTGGTAAATTCTTGAAACAACATAAAAATAAAATGGTATTTGACATTTCTTCTGAAATTAGCGCTTATTAAATTTGGCATTTTAAAAATTACACTGCTTTTGCTTATTTTATGTATTATTGTCACACCAATATTTTTTTTTGTTTAAAAAAAATTATATATATTATAGGTTCAAATCTCAATGCGTCATTGTAAATAGAAAAAAAATTATATATACCTCTTTTATTTTATGTGCAGAGGATCTACACCAAATTTTCCTTAAAATAACAAAGTAAGGAATACTTTGTGTAGATAAATGTGAATGTAATAAATGTGAGAAGATTTGCAAAATAATGAAAAATGGAGAATACCCAAGTTACTCAAAGAATTGCAAAAGTAAAAGTTTTAGGTTTCGTTTTTTCTAAAGTTACTTTAGACAACTTTGTCTAATGTTTACCGAATGATGTTGTTTTGAGACAGAAATCATGATGTATTTGTAATTTTAATTTATTTCAGGGTTATAATAATCTTTGTCATTTTATTTTATTTAATTTTTTAACCCCAAAACGATGTCATTTTGGGGTGAAAATCATGGTGTATTTATAATTTTAATTTATTTTAGGATTATAGTAGTCTCTATCATTCTAATTTTTTAATTTTTCAACTCCAAAATGACGTCGTTTCGGTGAATATTGAACAAAATTGTCTAAAATAATATTAGATATTTTTTTCTCTATATTAAATTGAGATGAAGTAGAACTATTCCATATATCATGCAAACCTTGTTATTTTGTACCCTAGAGTGCACTGGCACTTGAACACATGGCATATTAAATTGTGATTAAGTAGAACTATTCCATATATAATAGTGCTTTTGGGTCCTTATTAGAGTGGACTTGGTACTTGGACACATGAGCCTATGCTTTTGGTTGATAATTAAGTATAAGGGTGCCTCTTTACCCTCTACAAAACACCATCATTCCTATTGCTCTGAGTAAGTTAGTGCAAAATGAATCAAGTCTTATTTGTTGAATCATGCAAGAAATTTGTTAATATCCATTTGCAACCAATTTGTGTTATTGGTAGATGAGAATTAACCCAAAAAGAAAGTATTAGTCACATTTTAAAGTTTCTGTTCAACTTATCTGGTTTCCCAATTTGTATGGCCAATAATAAACATCAACCTCAAGGGTGGATAATATATTTCGTCCAAATAAATAAAAGTTTGATAATGCCTATCAATTTCTGAATTCTGATATCCAACCTTTTTTATTGTTTGCTATTATAAAAAGAACGAGGTTGAATAATTGAAAGTAGCTAAAGATGTTATTAAAATTTGTCTCAAGAGGATTTCCAACGTTTATTAAAAGAAGATTTTCCTACATAATAATAACCCCAGTTCATAGTTCCATATATAAATATATATATATGATTATCATATAGTGAAGGTAGCTAGGCCTCTTCATTGCAGATACACGACCTCTTAAGCATGACCCTATAGCTTCCAATGCAGAATCGTAGCCACATCTTTTACCTAACAAAGAAGAAAAAAAATGCAGTGGTGAAACACCATAAATTACACTTGCTCCTTATAATATCTTTGCATGAAAGGAACATTAATTTGGAGCTTTGAAAGAGTGATGGAGAATCTCCATCTACTTTTATTAAGAAATTTAGCTCATAACAAGGGTAATAATATCAGTGTACATTTTAGGGAGGAGAATACTTAGGGAACCAAGATGAGGTCATTGATAATGGTTGATGTTCATACGGAGAAAGAGGAAGCAAGGCCAAACTGAAGGCCCCAGAGCTCAAAACCTCCTTTAACAAAGTCATAGTATCCTCCTTTCAGTGCCAAAGTTTTGTTCACCAAGCCATCTCTAACAAATGGATATGTTAGCAGGTTTCCAAGGGAAACATTCACAGCTTCCTGCAAATAATCCAACTTTGTAAGCATCACCAACATGGGTTGCTTTCTAAAATCATCATGTAGCCATTAATGTAGTTGATCATTATGAGCAAGTTAATTCTTTGAGTTACATGAAAAAATAGGGGAAGAGTCCGTTTGCAAACTTTTTTTACAAATTACAATAAGTATGACCGGTCGTATACTCTTGATTGAAGTATGACCAGTCATACTTAGTGTAGTTTGTAAACAAAAAGTTTGTAATATAACCTTCCCCGAAAAAATATTAGAAAATGTTCTTCTAGTTTGTGGCTTGTATTTGTCTCATACCTTCTCACAGTGTGTGCATAACTCTGCAAAAGGTGCATTCCCATGTTGTGCTTTCACCTTTGCCTTTGCAGGTAAACCAATTTTGACCCACTCCTCAATAAAATCACTGCAAAAAACAAATCAGAGGTAAAAAGTAATTTTTCTTATTGAATCATAAGAAGATATACTTAATCTGATTAATTCTAAGTTCCATTTAAAATGTAAGAGGGTAGCACCTTAATTTGCTCAATATAATCATATTCTAAGAATTGTCTTCCAATTTCAACAAGGTAATCTTAAATGATGTTCCCTTATTGCAATTACATTGGTCTCTTCTGGTAGTTGCATCTTAGATGGAAGTTGTACTCCCTTTTTCATTTCATGCAAGATTTCATAGTTTATTTTTCCTAAAATTATAATACCAAAAAATGGAAAATTTATGCTTCAACTATAATGACATAGGGTAAATAATTGATGAAGTGTATTTTTTTTTTTTTTTTTTATGTAAAGCAAAATGACTTACGTAGAGTAGGTTCCATCATATGGAAAAGACAATAGCCCCTTAATACCACCACAAGCACTGTGTCCAATGACCACAATGTTTGACACCTATAGGAAAATTAGTTGAGTTAAAATTCTTGACATTTCCCATAAATACCAATATTCATACTATACATGCAATTGTGCAATTCATTTATCTTCTGATGATTGGTAATATACCTTGAGATGCAAAACTGCATACTCAATTGCTGCCCCAGTTCCAGAGTATTTTGTCTGATACACAAAAAGAGTAAAACAAAAAAGGGTAACCATTTTAGTATATATTATTGTATTAAGATACTACAATAATGTTAGCATTGCTTTACTTGTATTGGAAACAAACCTGGTCATATGGTGGGACAATGTTAGCAACGTTTCTGACCACAAAGGCCTCTCCTGGCTGAAAATCTAGCACATGAGATGGGCAGACTCTTGAGTCTGAGCAAGCAAACACCATAAACTGAAAAAGAAAAAGTAAAAAAAAATACTAAGTTAGGCCTCAAGAAAATAAAAAATTTCAATCTAAATCCAAAAGGGTTCTATTATATAAACAGGGAGAAGGATCCGTTTACAAATTTTTCTTATAAATTACACTAAGTTTGACCGGTAATACACTCTTTATTGAAATATGACCGATTAGACATAGTGTAATTTGTAAGAGTTTTGTAAACAAAAAAATTGTAAATATAACCTTCCCCTGAAAACAATTCATCAAACAGAAATACCTTGGGGCTCTGGCCTTTGGCAAGTTCACCATACAAAGCTGGATTCTTGCTGTGGAAAAATGATAGGAATGAGAAAAGCTTATGCTAATTAAAAGAAAGGAATACTAATAAAGGCAATAAGGTATAGTGACTAACTCATATTTCTCTTTCTTGAAGTAAATGAAACCATTCTTGATCCTATCAGAGGCTTCTGATGATGGGATGCCATCAGATGATGTTGTGCCTAGCTGAGCTGTTATTTGCTCAACTCTTTCAGCTGCTGTTGCTTTCAGTTCACTCTTCTCCCTACATTTGAACACAATACAAGAAAAAAGATGAGTCATACTGTGAAATATTGCATATACTTCCCAGCAAAGATAGTGTTTGAAATTTACCTTAACAGCTTCTGAAGTTCTTCAATAGCTTCCTCATAGTTCTTCCCCATATCCTCTCTCTCCAAAAAAAAAAAAAAAAAAAAAAGGTGTCAGTTGTAACTAAAAAGTTACACTAAAATAGCAATGAGAAACAAAATGTAATTTTCTCCTAAACTTAGTGAAATTATAACAACTATAAGTCTATAACTATGGTCAGAAAAAAAAAATAAGGAAAATAATCTTTAGAATTCGACTAAGTAAATATTAAGTGTCAAATTCCAGAAAAATACAAAAATTGGAAATGATATATTTTGGTGTGCCTGAGGATTAATTAGTTGCCAATTTGGCAAAACTGGTTTAGAATGGACCTTTTCTTCTATAGTAGTTTGGATTTGCTGCTTTATCCGCCTTAGAATCCTCCAACTAATAACACAGCTCACCAATATATATACAACGCAAATTCACATTATGTATAGTTTTTATTTTTGGTATGAATTTTCTTCTTAGGAAAAAATATTGGTTAATTGTATGGTGCTGAGTACTGACACATACTAGTGCATGAACAAATCCATGCCACACATCTGTCACTCAAACCTAACTAAGCTATCAACGTGGTAGATGCCAATGAAAGATCAAATGGTGTTCCACGTGAAGACTTTTAAGAAAAGAAACACAGTGAAATGTTTGTCTTCCAAGTAGCAACCAAATTCACCCCATATTAGATTGTTGAGCACATGATCACCTAAGCCAAAATATATGGCAGCTCAAACACACTTTATGATCCAAAAGTTCAAATAGAATTTTGGGTTTCGTTAAAGAGAAATGATCTGTTTACAAACTTTTTTTATAAATTACACTAAGTATGACCGGTCATATACTCTTGATTGAAGTATGACCGGTCATACCTAGTGTAGTTCGTAAGAGTTTGTAAACAAAAAATTTGTAAATATAACATTTTCCTTCCTTAAAAATATGAAAGACAAGGAAACAAACAAACAAAATAACAATTTCAATTTGTAAGAGATGATCAAATGTGTATTTGTTATATATACCAAAGTGGGGGTGATGATGGGAGCAGGGGCAGCAAAAACAGGCTTGTCTTGAATGAGAGAAGGGAAAGAAGAGGAAGAGGTAGAAGAAGAAGAAGAAGTGTTAAGAGTTGCAAAGACTGAATGGCGCAATGTGGCTCTCCTGAGTGAAGTTTTTGCAGGAGAGATTGAAGAGAGGCACCAACCGTTTATGGAAGAGGTAGACATTGTGACAATGGAGACTCAAATGGTGACACTATATAGCTGTTGTAGCTATTGTTATGCCATGTCTAATTGGCTATCCCCATTTTTATGTGACCAGAAGATAGATAATGAAAACGAAAGCCAAGCAAAGGAGAGCTTCATTCCTATCCTTTTAGATGAGGTTTGAATGTTGGAGATTAACTATGAGAGAATGACCATAACTCAATGTCACACTTTGGATCACACACCCTTTTTTACCTACACAATCATATCACATATAAAATTGATATATAAATATATTTTATCTTTAATAAAATTGATTTTTGAGTGCTTCACACATTGTGTTATATATGGACCATTCCATTGTTGAAGATGTTATCTATGAGATTGTCGTTAATTCTTATGAGTATTCAGATAAAAAAAAAAAAAAATTGTGGTGTTGGGTATTCCAAGGGACTTAAAGAGGTTTGTTTTTGTAGGGTATATGTTTGTCCCCTTTCAAGTTATGTTATGACATGCACGCAATGCTGGTTTGCCACGTATGTGAAAATATTGCATTTGAAAGGGACAAAATATTGCATGGTATATTTCAATATTGCAGTAACTGCATGTTCTATTCACTGCTTTTGCTACAACTTAGGAGGACTCATTCCATTCATATATTAACATATGTAAACGTATAAGATGCAATATATAGAGTGTGACATTATATCTCCTTTCACTTAGTGAAATGTTGGGATCGCTCTATATTTCCTCTGTCTTCTGTATGAAGCTTCAATATGGATATATGGTTGATACAGAGTGATCCAACAGTTCACTAAGTAAAAGGAAATGTTTGCTTTTTTGCGTTGTTGGAAAATTAAGATGTTTTTTAAGAACTTTGGAAATTCAATTCAAATTTTTTTTTTTTCATTTTCTTTACATTAATTTTACTAAAAATAGCTTAAGTATGGTTCAAATTCTAATTTAAGTATAATATATATAGGTCCATTTTTTTTTATTCTATCATGTGCTGACTTGATTCCACTAGAAAATGGAGCGGTAAGGATTGAATTCATAACCGTATGCGATGGATGAGTGATATTATATAATAAATTATTTCAACTCAAAAACTTAAAGTATTAAGTAAATGTCTATTAATAATTTTATATTATATTTTTTTACAAAAAATGCCAGAAAAATAAAATAAAATAAAATATAATGATGTCGAAGAAAAGTCTCATTTTTTTGTTAATAGCCTCTCGAGGATGAATTGAGTTAAATTAGAAAATCTTAAGCATCAAATTAATTAGTTCCAAAATCTAAAGGCTAAATTGAAAAAATAATGAAAATAATTAAATATATCTTGCAAGTTGTTTCTATCCGTTGGTAACCGATGGTTTTATATGTGACGGACAAGAGAAACGATGGATTTTATAGATAAAACCCTATCCTTGAAGCTTAGAATTTGTGGCTCTGGATATCTAAATACATTAAGAAATGATTTATGAGTGTGCCACTTTGTGTTTGTTGTTGGTGATGTCTTATATATACACAAACAAGCTTCATAATATAGACTCACATGCAGTTCATTTTTTCTACCATATTCAGCTAGCATTACTAAAAAAATTAAGTCCCAATTAAACTTGTCTTCATTCCAAGAAAATTTTCTTCTTTAATTTGAAAATTAATAATGTGTATCACTTATGCCTTTCTATTTATACTACTTTTAATCCAATAATTTAAGAACACCTTAGCATAGAGATGTATAAATAAATGTGCCTATAACAAGCTAGAAGAGAGTGTGTGTGAGAGAGAAAAACATACATTCTAACACATGGCTGCACAAGAATCATTGTCCATTCGCCATGATAGAAATGCTTTTTGGTCATTGTAATGATCAAGAAGCAAGCCAAGTTGGAGAGATTAATGTCAACAAAATTGGAACAACTCATGGAGGATTTTGCTTCCTGAAGAGATTTTGGGAAATATTAGTGCAGAGTAGCTAGGAAGGAGGGAAAGAGGTGGTGGTTTTTTCTTCTGATGAGTGAGGACCAACTTTGGTTGTTATATTAATACAAAATAGTGACCTTGGCCTTTCATTTTGATGTCAACATTCAATGTGCACTATGACGAGATTATGTCAACATTTCTCTTGTCCTGTTTCTAGGTAAAATTGGAGCAACTTGCATATTAGTCCTCAATAGTACATATTACAACCATTTAAATTATAACATATGGACTCACCTAAATGCATTTACACCTATTTTCGTTGCAACTTTTTCATTTATGATGTCACTTAACTCCATGTGTAAGAATTTGATTTACCAGGTAGAGGCAAACTCCTTCCCTGATATGTACAGGAAAACTTAGTCTCTTTTTTCTTTTTTATGGAAAAAGAGAATTTTTTTATTGAATTGATTCAAAATTTAAATATTTTATCAAAATAACACGAAGAATGGGAGAGGTGTGCGCTTGTGCATGGGCAAAGACATGTCTGCTACGTGGCGGAATCTGCAAGTCCCGCATGGAAGATGTGCGTGATTGCCGAGCACGTCACGTGTCAAGCATGCATTTGCTTATATGCAAGTCACGCACCTTCTTATATCCGACTTAAACGTGCACATCTCTATTTATAAAATATTTGGATTTTGAATCAATGCAATAAAAAGTTGGGAAAAATATTTGTCCTTTTAAAGTATATAATTTTGTGTCATTTTAGATTTTAAACGTTGATTTCTGTCAATCAACGGCTAGGATTTACTGAGTCAAACTTATTAATTAATTATTAATTTGTAATTAAATCCAATAAATCTTGACCGTTGATTGACGAAAATCAATGGTTAAAATCTAAAATAACATACAGTTATATCATTTAAAAGGATAAATATTTTACCCAAATTTTTTTCCCTTTTTACCTCAAATGCGTTAGAAGACCGGAAAGCTCCTTTGCTAGGTACGAAATATGTTGTACACATGCAAAGATGATACCAATTTCCTTTTAATAATCAAGTTTGATATAACCATACATATGTAGTTGCAATTTCAAACAACGTTTACTTATTTTATTATGTGAATGCTAACAAACGTGAAGAAATCCAGCTCTACAATACTCATACATAGCTCTTCAAGCAACTATTCACAAGGGATAAGAGCAACAAACAATTTATAGTGAAGTCTCCCACCAGAGACATATCCTATCCTAAAAACATAGAAACAGAAACTTGAAATTATGGTCAATCGAGGTAATTAAGTAGATGTAAATTCTTAATCCTCTTTAAGAATAAAAATTCCAGATTTCCTAACACTCTAATTCTTAAGCAGTAGTTGAAAAAAAAAAAGATGTGGGCCGCACACAAGAACCAACCTTGATCCTTTTGAACCTTCCTAAGGAAATCAAAAGACTTCAAAAAAAAAAAGACGTGCTGATGAATAGAATAGTTTGTGATGACCAGTCAATCAAACAAGCAAGGTAATTGTAAAATCATGCATGATATGTTGCCAATCTTTTATCTTCTTATTGTAATTAATAATGTTTAATCAATTATAGGAATCAGAACAAGTTCAATATAGTAGCAGTTTTTTAAATGAGAATTTGTTACACAGACAAGGAATCAATTTTGTTGTTCCCACTTCCTGTCCTTTTTCATATCCCTTCAATTAAATAATGACAACTCAAAAAAAAAAATTGTGACACCAAATTTATTTGGGAAAAGTGTTTGTTTGTTTTTTTTTTTTTTTTTTGGAAATTACAGGAAATCGAACACACTACCACACACTAACACACATCCTATTACACACATCCACACCACTAGGCTAGCCCTAGTGGATAGTGTTTGTTTTTTTAAATAACACAACTTATGTCATTTCACTCTCACAAAAAGGTGGGACTCACATCTTTAGTTTTTATGTCCAATCTCTCTCCTCCTTTATCTATCTCTTTTTCAAATTTAAAATGACACAACTTTATATCCTTTAAAATGACACATACTTTTCCCAATTTATATATACAAAAATTAGAATTTGACCTAGTTTATTATATTTAATTTGAGCTAGTATTTCTGTTGGGACCGAACAACCCTACACAAAAGCTCAAAAATAAAGAGAGAAGGGAAGAAAGAAAATGAGACATAGATTACTCTAGTTCACTTAATCTATGCTACTTCTAGTAATGTTTTATTATATTTTCTTCATTGCACTTGTTATAAAACATTCTGTTTGTTTATAATGAAAATATAAATAGGCTTAAAAACTCTAAATAACAGTGGCTATTCATGAGTTCAATTGGCCAAATAACTAAAATTAAAATAAAATAAGGGTCTTTAACTTATCATGTTACATGAAGTCATGCAACACTAAAAGACAAAAAATAATAATAATAAAAAAATATGATAAGACACTTTGTTCAATTATTTTATTTTGTCTTATCTTAACATAACTAAATTATTTTTTTTTTTTTTTTTTTTTGATAACATAACTAAATTATTTTTCCTACAATATAACTCTTATTTATCCCATAAAATAAACCCAAGAGACTTCCGTAGTCTGGCCAACAAGATTTATCTGAATACGAAGTATGTCCAAACTCCGGGCAAAATAAGAGTAGGATGATCATCTATATGAAAATTACGGAAACTAATTAAGTGAAACTAGCAACCTTCTACTTTCTGCTTTTATTTATCCCTTGCTGGTTTCAACATGAGGCAAGAACTATGCCTAATCTCACTACCATCATATAAAAATAATATTGAAAAAAGTGGCGAATGTAAATGACTGAACATCGAAGAGTGAATGATATGCCCATATACCCTTTCCAGAGAGAATGAACGATGAATTGTGGTGGAAATGTTCTGATTGTGGATGAGAAGACTGAAATATGAAGCGGTTAAAATTAAATTAAACCAAAGTTTCTGTTGCATGAGCCTAGGGGACAACAGTAGAGCCGGCAAAACAGGATCGGCTCGGCGGGTAATCCGTCAAACGAGACGGGGCGAGCTGAGTTTTTCAACTCATCTCAAAAGTGGGGCGAGCTCATTTTTTGGCAGGTTGATGACGGGCATAAACAGGCCGAAGCGGGTTAGTATAAAATAGGCTTGGGCTGGCGGGCTAACCCGCCAAACAGGACGGGGCGGGCTGAGTTTTTCAGCCCACTTTCAAAAGCGGGACAATGCGAGCTAGTTTATTTTTTGACGAGTTGATGGCGGGATGAGACAGGACGGGGCGAGCCGCCCACTTTACCTCCTCTGGAGAAAACTTGTATTGCTATTACAAGGACTAATGAATGAGTATCCTTTTACAGGAAGAAAAAACCAAATGCATACAAGAAATTTTCATTTTTCTGAGTTTTATTTTTCAAAAGTTTATTTAATTATCTTAACTTTTTATATATTTTTAATTATAAAAATTCTTTAAAAAAACACAAGCTAAGGGACCCATATTTACACAACATTATTATTATACTATTTTAACTCCATTTATTTAGTCAAGATGTCATACTGCCATTCCATGAGATTTTTTAGTATGGAGTGATGAACTTTGAGCCAATTCAATCTGAAAGGATGCTCACTAGACTTTGAGCTTACTAAGGTTTCAGTTGGGGTAACTTAAACGATGAAATCTTGATTGAAGTTAATGACTTGAAGAGTAAGTGGGAGCTCAAAATGATAAACGAACTCAACTAAATATTCACTAAACACCTATAGATCAAAATGAATGTTGGTGTGATTTATGGTCTTCCACAAATAAAAGTAAATTACATTTCAAGTGCTTCATAATTTTATCCAAATAAACTTCTATGCAACACATTTAAAAACTCTATTGGGGATGACTCATACCTCGCATTCAAATGACGATTATTGTTTGCGGGACGCAGTGTAACATCCCCGTCTCGAGCCGGTTCAATTAACATACACATGATATAAACAGAAACAGCGGAAGACTTAACTTACGAAAATATGAGCTAACTTTTTCTTTTTCTAACTTAATTCTTACTCCGCGTAAACGAAAATCGGGCAGAGTTTCCTCTATAAATCGGACAACTGGGGATTTTCCAATCCCACTCAGAAGCATTTCCTGATAAACAGTTTATACAACATATCAATTCAGAAATACCAGATATCCAAATATAATCAAATACCCATACATGGGCGCATGCATAACATGGCTCCGTGCCACTATATCTAACAACATGCCAGCAAAACGTAAACCTATCTGAATACTACATCATCATATAACGTTCCTGAATACTCAAATGTACATGCATCAAACTGACATACATGTACAAAACATATACAGGCCATATACAAAATAAAGGATCAATGTCATGATCCATCAAAGGCGGAAATACAAAATGACATAAATATACTTCCAAAAAGTAGTAGCCTACGGCCACTCAAAATCCAATCTGTCAACTGCCTCAGCCACGTGTCGCGTCCCTGCCTAGTGAGGACTCACCGGGAATCTGGGCACCTGAAAATATGTCCCCAACGAGGGGTGAGATTACAAATCTCAATAAGCTCCAGGTTTATAGAGAATTCTCCATACCCCTGGCTCACTCCTGCATGAAAGTCAGATACAGAGTATACAAATACAACATATAACAGATATCATAACAGAACAGAGCATATATCCATATCATATCAGAGATGTGCACCGTCATTCCCAAGGGAGGACCCCAAGCGGAAATCAACACACGTGTTCCCGAGGGAGGACCCCAAAGCGGAACCAGACATATCAGAGGCGTACACCATCGGTCCCGAGGGAGGACCCCAAAGCAGACATCTGGGTACTATACAAACAATGGCCAGAGATTGTTACAGAAATCATATTACGGAAGTCATATCAGAGCAAAACATATCATGTTATCAAATAACTCTATATGAATGCATCTATACAAAGCATCTAAATCACAGTCATACAGTCCAACCATAGTTCACTAACCATGGTGGAGCACTCAAGCAGGAAAAGACTCCTTAAACATAGAGCTTACTTCTTGAAGCTTTACCAATACCCTTACTTGTTGCACAAGTTACTTATATATCTTCAAGAGATTCTGATTCCTTTTTAGTCCCTAGGTACACCTAGAGCAAGAATCCACAAATACCAATTAATAAAATGCCATCATGCCTAGTTTTCACATAAGGCATACATTTTATCGTTTCTTTTCATTTCTTTGCGTTTTTGCCAATCCTATGCCAATACACAAGTCTAGACCTCTTTATAACCGTTGGTGTTCTTTAATTTAATCACCTATTCCCTTAGGAATTTTCAACATAAATCATGCTATTTTTCTTCAAAACTCATCACTTTTATACAATTTATTACAACACATTTTATTTAAAATAAAATGTACAAAATATATCCCTAAGCCACCCTATAGGTCGAATTCCACAATGACAATAGGCAAAAGGGTTCTTTTCTTTTTACTTATTCTTTCTTCACTTAGTTAGTAACTTACACACACATGTATATATTTATATATATATACATATCCACAATGTCTAATTAAATTTTAAACATTAAACTCCTCCAATATACATCAAGGTCGAAACATAGGAGCATACTACATAGGATTTTTTCCCACTTTGGCATTCTCACTAATGCACCAAATTTCCACTTATTCCAACATATTAAACCTTCCCAATACATACAATAAATTTTGTACATCATCCCCTAATTACCCTATCAAGGCCGAAATCTAGGGCATCTCACCATGGGATTTTTTTCCAATTTTATACATGTTCACATGCTTATTCCACCTTCCTACACCCAACACATCAACAATCCATCATCAATTCAAATTTTAAACTAATTTATATCTCACTCAAAACATGCTCATAAATTCCAAGACATAAATCACAAAAATAAAACTATAGGATTAGAGGTTTCTCACCTATAGTAGCTATTCCAAGCTCCAAAGAACAAACCCCAAGCTTTGCTCACTCAAAAGCCCCACTTTTCTACAAGCATGAATAGTGTCACGAATTGGGTTTGATGAATAACTCTCTCCACAAGCCAAATCAGCCCAAATGGAGTGGTGGAATGGATTCACTAGCCTTTTTCCTTAAAGATTCATGTATGGCATCATGGCTTTTGGTGAGAATTTGAGTGGAAATGAGAGGAAATAAAAAAAACTAACCTAGGTCCCTTTCTCCATGGAAGCGTCGAGCATCAGTGAGAGAGACGAAAAAGAAAGGAAACAGCGCGCAGAAAGAAGGAGAAATAAGGATTTCACCGTGTAAAATTTAAGTTACTTTAACTGGGTAAAGGTTTATCTATCTACACACCTCCATTTATTACCAAATTTTACCTAATGGACTAGAATATTTTTCTAGTCATATTTTTAACTTTACTTTCACTTTTCGGGTAACTTTGTTTACCCACATTTTTATCCCTTAACTGTCATTTTAACTCATTTTTCACTAAGGGTGACTTTATTTCTTTTACTTCTAATTATTCTTCAATATTAAATCCCCAATTACTAGTGAGGGTTATTATACGCAGCGCCCTTGGGACCGCATAGGCCTGGTATTGTGGGCCTCTGTCTTTATTTTTTTTCTGTTTTTTTAGTAATTTGGGTTTGAGCCCCATGAATAACTGTTATTGCTTAAGATTTTTAATCTTATTTATACTTCCTTTGTAAATTGAGTGGCTTGTAACGAGTGTCGCTGAGCAGAACATAATGCATATTGCTAGACGCAGCCCACATTAAATGAACAAGGGTAAATCGTTGTCTCACTTTTCTTTTCTTTTTCTCTTTTTGATTTCGATCGTGTGTACATGTGATTGTGTCGACTCCAACAAAAATCTTATAGGAATATACCAAAATAGATCATGTCTCATTGGTTATTCTTAGGTCATTTCAAATAATATTAATACCTGGGTGTGGTGAACGTCAAAATTCTCCCCAAGAGTACTTCTCCAAGGATCGAACTTTCGACATATAAACTATTATTTCACGTAACTGAATTGTTCTTGTTAAATGAAACATGAAATCTAATCCCAAAATATGCACTTTAGGTGTAGTGATTCAAGTGCTTCTTTTGACGATAAAATCAGTGTTTTTTTTGGATAAAATATATATATCATTCACAAGAAAGCAATCTTATTCAGGACGGATTCAGAATTAAGATTTTAAACTCCTCTAAAAAAATTGGATATAAAATCAGTTAGTTCCTCGTAAAGAATTAAAGCAAAATTACCTTCTAACGGGTATAAAAGGACCACGTTTGACGTTAGCTTATCACCTATTCATTTAGGTTCATGTTCCTAGTGATCATTATCATTCCATCAAGGTCTTTTTTTTTTTGTTCGATTCTTCACACCTTATTCATGACATGGCGTCGAAGTAGCCAAGTTGCTCAACTTTGAGAAATTCAATCCCACTCTCCCGGAGTGCAATTAATTTGGGTTAGAATTTTAGTATATAAATTTAATGGTGATATGTAAGTATCATCAGTAAAATAAATGGTGATAGATGAGTACCAAAGAATTGAGACTATTGATGTTGACAGTGAATCTCAGTGAAGCCATTTTACCTCTCTTTTATTCTTTCCTTCTCTTACTCATATGAGTCTCAATCTCTTTTTAACCAAATAGAATCCCATTAAAACAAAAGGTAGTCACTTATTTATTTTCTAAATTCCATGCTCTAAATTACTCCACGCCATATTCCATTTAGTATTTAACCCTTGTTGGTTGGCTAGGCACACTGTTTACATAGAATTAAAGTTTAATCATTAAAAAGATGATTAGTTAAATAACTTCGTATTACCATCCAAAAAAAATTATGAGCTTGTTTGATTTCTGTTTTCAAAAATAATTTTTTAATTTAAAAAAAAAATAAAAAAACTTATTTAATAATGACTGTTTTTATAAAAAAAATTATAAAAATTATAACTATTTTTTTAGTTTTTATAATCAAATTTAGAAAATATATGAGTTATTTCTTTTTTGTGTTTTGACTTTTAATTTTAAAATTAAAAAAAAAAAAAAAAACACAACAAACATTCATTTCATCCACTACTCTATGAAATAATGAAAAAGAGAGCGAGAGAGAACATAATCAAACATATTTATATCATTTTATAACTGTTGATTTGATTTTTTTGATCTAACGATAATAATAAATATAATCTCTTAAGAACTAATATAGTCTCGGAATCATTACAATATATATATATATAGAAATATTTTTGCAGTTATGGAAATAAGTTATTTACATTTATTCTCAAAACGACGTCGTTTTAGTATTGAAATCTTAAAAAATTATAAATATAAAAATTATTATAATCCTGATATAAATTAAAATTACAAAAACACCATGATTTTCATCTCAAAACAACATTGTGTTGGGCTTAAAAGCGAACTCATGTATATATATATATATATATATATATATATATATATATATATATATATATATATATATATGGGAAAATATTTCTGCAACCATTTTAGATAAGGTTGTCTACAACTACCCTTTTTTCACTAAGTATTACCAGTTATACTTTAAAGTTGCATTTTCTCTTTTTGCCACGTCAGCTGACAATGTACGAGGAAAGAGAAAAAAAAATAGCTTTATTGTTATAACTAAGTACGACCTGTCGTACTTAGTGAAAAAGGATATAGCCTCAGAATAAATTAGTGCTACAAAAATATTTGGAAAAAGTTCATAAATACAATGTGGTTTACTCTTTTTCTTTTTAATTATGTGTCCTTCCTTTTTGATAAATTTACTATTTAATATTAGATGAGTTTACACCTTAATCAATATATGGAGACTTGCTGTAAAAATGATTTTGACAACACATTAGTTTTTTTTGTATTACTAAAAAATTTAATTTGAATACCTTTTACCTATACTTTTTTTTTCTGCTTAATTTTTAAAAAAATTAAGCAACCTTCTATTCTATAAGCACCTCTTAAATTTTGAAAAGAATTTTTTTGGTTTTTATCATTAACTAAAGAAATAAATTTATTACGGGCGACCAAATTTTTTATGTTAGACTAATCAATAATTTTGTATTCAAGTAAAATAAAAATAAAATGAAAAGTTCATTCAATTATTAGATGTTAAACGTGAATTCAGATGGAAAAAATTATAAAGAATAAAGATACATGTGATAAAAAAAATAAATCAGCAGGGAATTTCTTAACTTTTCCCAATTATTTTTCTCCGACCTCAGTTATCAATAGATCAATTATCTCATATGAGATGAGAACATTAAGAAGGATTAAACTCAAAACTCAAAAGTAATAATGTATTTAACTTTTAATTTAATTTAACATATAATATAATATTAACTGACTAAAATTTTTCAAAAAAAATAAAAAATATAAACTCTTAAAATTTTCTATGTGACAAAAATGAAAAGAACCCAACCAATTCTTGCCTATACGGCAAATAGGACCTTTTTCTCGTCTCTCGGTTCTTCAAATACAATGCCTCGTGCGCCGACGTAAACACCTTCTTCTCCCCGCCGCTCGCCGCCGCTGCCGGAATCTTTTTTCCGGCGAACCTGCTAGTGAGGATTTCAGCTTTTCGAGAACCACACTGCTCTTTCGAACTCTCCCCTTTCACTCCCTTCTTCTTCTTCGTCGAATCGGACGACGGCGTCACCAACACCAACGACGACGACTCCTTCCCGTCGCTGTTGCTCCGCCGCAGCAAATCCAGAAGCTTCCATCGCTTCGTCGACGACGATCCCGTCGAATTGCTCTTCTTGCATCTGTCAGGCGAAGGCTTCACCGAATTCGGAGTCCACACGCAGTACGTCCCCGCCGGAATCGCCACCAGATCATCCTCCACCTCCGACGACGACGACGAAGTCGTCGGCGAAGGTTCACGACGCTTTTCCTCGTCGCCGATAAGCAACTTCCTCATCGGAAATTGAATCGCCGCAGCATCCTCCTCCTTCGTCGCCGTCACGAGGTCGCGATTGAAGATTGGGAAAAAACGACCCGAATCGCCGTCGAAGAAAACCCCATCCGCAGCCTTAGGAAACGCGACGAACTCGAAGTCGTTGTCGTTAGCATTAAAATCGTTGTCGTTTTGAATAACCTGTTGAGCTATATCAGCGAGTTTGTTAGATGAGTGACAATAGGTGCTGAAACTTGGACACAACAACGAGTCCACACTCTCTTTGTGCTCTTCTTCTTTCTCCATCTCTATCTCTCTCTTTTTTCTTTTTTCTTTTATTTTTCTTTGTGAATTCGAAGGAATGAGAAATAGGTTGGTGCATATTTATAGAAGAAGGGTGAGGAAGTAGGAAGATGGAAAGAGCAGCCTCCTGAAGTAACTGTTTGGTTGGCAAAACGTGTGTGTTAAGCATTATAATAATAATAATGTGAAATGACGCTTTGTTTTTTCTTCTTATTAATTAAGATATTCTATTTTGTCTTTGTTCACATCCCCCTTGACCATGTAACATACCACCAAATTAAACCTTTTTTTAACTTTTTATTTATTTATAAAATTTCTGTTATAATATAAAAATTATTAATCTGACATTTACCTATCAATTTAAATTTTTGGATTGAATCAATTTCTTTACCTTATATCAAATTTTCGTGATCAAGTAATCACATGTTTAATCTCACGATCTCCTTCTATTAATAAATGGAAAAAATATTTGTACTTTTAAATGATATAACTTTGTATCATTTCAGATTTTAATAGTTGATTTTCGTCAATTAACGATTATGATTTATTGGGCCAAATTAATTAATTATTAATTCGTAATAAAATCGAATAAATCTTAACTGTTGATTGATAGAAATCAATGGTTAGTATTTAAAATGACACAAAGTTATATTCTTTAAAGGGACATAATATACTTAATATCAAAAAAATTTAAAACATTTACAACTAAATTAATTATCGTTGATTTTCGTCAATTTAACGGTTATAATTTATTAGAAATTAATAATAAATTAATTAATTAATGCGACCCAATAATTTCCAATAAATTATAACCGTTAGATTGACGAAAATCAACGATAATTAGCTTGATTGTAAAGGTTGTAAACTTTTTTGGTGATAAGTATATCCTTCTCCTTCTTTAAAAAGACAAATATTTTTTCCTTAATAAATAATTAACTATTATGAAATTTCTTAATATAAATAAGTGGGACATGTGTAATATTTATACTTCAATCCCAATGAATTTTTGTGTGAGAATGCGTGTTAGAAAAATATAATATAAAACTACATAAGACTTATGTTTATTTGTTTTAGTTTTTTCTTGATTGCACTAATTAATTTGGTGCTAAGTGTCTTCCGCTTGAAAGACATAATTATGAAATTACGTTTTATTTTGTGTTGTCATTGGAAGAGTCGTGATTTAAAGGAAAGAGAGAGACAAGGGAGGGTGTGTGAAATAAATGACCATGCTTTTAAGGGTAATAGAAGTCTCGATCAAGAGCGGTGCGACGTGAGTTAGGTATCTTAGTGTATGTGTGTGACACATGAAACTCGCATATTGGATATGGATATGGCTATGTTGTTTCTAGACTTGATTATTAAGGTAAGTATATATTTTAAGTATGAAAGAAAGGTGAAAGGATTTATTTATCAATAAAAAAAATTTTATAACGTTTACAACTAATCTAATTACCACGGATTTCTGTCAATCTAATGATTATCATTTATTAAAAGTTATTAGGTTGTATTTATTAATTAATTATTAATTTTAATAAATGATAACCGTTAAATTGACGGAAATTAACGGTGATTAGATTGATTGTAAAGATTATAAACTTTTTTGATGATAAGTATATCTTGCTCTTAGAAGAGAAAAAGAAAAAGAAACTACCTACGGCCTCTTTTAGTATGAAATCTGATATATTAGATTTGTGATTATTTCATACCAAATAAAGATTTATTATTGGGGTTTGCTTTCATCATTTAACATGATCATAAAATATTTTCTACACACACAATATTTTGTGAGATCCGCATGTTTTAAAGAAGAAGAAAAAACTACGGCATGCAAAACGAATCTCTATAATATAGCACAATCATTTTTCTTACAACATAACTCTTATAAAACCCTTTATTATTATATGTTTCTGATTTCTTGGGAAGTGTCTATTATTTTTATGGGGAAGGATATTGTGACAACCAAGTTGTGTTACTACCAAGTGACTACCAATTAATCTCACCGTTAGATCGATTACGTTGATCCAACGGTTATATTTATTTTCATCTTTGTATGGTCATGATTTTCCAAATTTAATACTTTATATTTATTTTCACCTTTGTATGATTATGATTTTTCATATTTAATGCTTTCAATTTAAATATGGAAAATCATAACCATACAAAGATGGAAATAAATATAACCGTTGGATAAACATAATCCATCTAACGGTGAGATTAATTGGTAGTCACTTGGTAGTAACACAACTTGGTTGTCACAATATCATTCCCCTATTTTTATCGGTAAGTATTCTGCGTTATTAATTACATTCTAATTTAAAGAGATAATTTAGCAGCATTGGAATTTCAGAATAAATACTTATAATTACATACCTAATTACCTATTTGCCTTTTCTTTTACAAGAGTAATTATTAATTGCTTGTAATTAATGATAATAATTACCAAAATAAATATTAATTGAATTATTATTAAATATTGGTATGTCAGTTTTGGTTAGCAATTTAATTACTCTGATTAATTCACCAAATTTATCTTGTAGGTTATAATCATTACCACTTGAATATGGCGTGATCAAAATGAGTGAAGGAAAAAAAATTACAAATCAAGGAATTCAGGGGGAAAAAATAAATAGCATACGCGTCAAATGTTTTATCAGTGAAACTTCTAGAAAGGAGCATATCTAGAAAGTTTATTTAGTATCACTAATTAGTGATAAATTGAAATATTTTTAAATTTTATTTATTCAATATAAATTCAAGATATATTTTCACAGTTTTAAATCATAAAATTTTAAGATGACTTTGAACATAATTTATCCTCATTTCTAAATTTATGTGATATATCCATGATAAAATTCCATCAAGATAATGAGGCTTTAGAAGAAAACAATAATTTATTATTGACTAACTCACATGAAACTATCTGTATATATATAGACTATACTTTTATATAATAATACATAGATAGATGTCAAATTCGTTTCTTTACAAATTATGATCATGTAACCAATAATTCTTTTTATTCCCAAAATGTAAACTGCATTGCATGAATTCATTGTCTTTGCCTGCTCTAAACAACTCAATGTTACCCAACTACAGGTCACATGAGATTATGCAACCCCCTCATGGCACATGCTTTATATATAAATTAGTAACGTGTCTGATGCAAATAAAATCACAACAACAACAATAATAAAAATAATAATAATCACAATCCCCGATTGTTCGTGAGATCCATCAGATTGTTACGCTATGCAGATTGCATTACGTTATGCTCAAACTTTTTTATTAAAAAAAATGTTATCCTGTCATTAGGGTTGAGGGATTTTAGGAAATTCTTTATCTCTAGTTTAGGCTACATCAAATTTTGTTGGAACATCGACCAATATGCTACATTATTGGCATTTATATAGCAAACTGCCACGTGAACAGTAAAATTTATCAGACTGCCATGCGTTGAAGTTCGCTACGACGGGTAGCGAACTTGGTAGCCAATGATTTCTTGACACGTAACACACTTTCGTAGAAAAAGCTGACTATCACGTGTCCAAATTCACTACGACTTATAGGGAATTTGGTAGCCAATGATTTCATAACACGTGGCACAATTTCATAAGAAAAGCTAACTGGATGAAATTCGCTACCAAGGGTAGGGGTCGTGAACTTGGTGCGTTATGTGGCACAATCTCGGATCAGAATTAAGGTACCAATCAAAATAAAAAAAAAATTAAAACGAATGAAAAGGCTATTTAATTAATGTACCAATTATCAGTCACAAATATCGTTTGAATTTGTAACAATGATATCACAAACAATTAATGTACCAATCACCAATCACAATTAATGTGCCAATCACAATTATTAATTTTGATTGGTACATTAATTGTGATTGGTGATTGATACATTAATTATGATTGGTGATTGGTACATTAATTGTTTGTGATATCATTGTTACAAATTCGAACGATATTTGTGACAAATAAAATATGTTAAATGAGGTGTCATTGTATAGATCTCAAAAAGTTACGTGAAATTAAAATAAAAAAGCATCTGATTTGGATATTTGAATCAAAATTTATGGCTTACGAATTAATTAGTGATTGATACATTAATTGTGATTGGTACAATTAAAAGTTAATCTCATTGGTACACTAATTGTTATTGGTGATTGGTATATTAATTGTGATTGATTATTGGTATATTAGTTGTGATTGGTACATTAATTAAGTAGCTATTTTCCTTCATTTTTTTTAATTGTGATTGGTACATTAATTCTGATAAGGTAACGAGATTATACCACATAGCACACCAAGTTCGCTACTCCTGGTAACAAACTTAGTTCAGTCAGCTTCTCATGTGAAAGTGTGTCACGTGTCACGTAATCATTGGCTACCAAGTTCGCTACCAATCATAGCAAACTTGGACACGTGACAGTTAGCTTTTCCTGCAAAAGTGTGCCACATGTTACAAAATTATTGACTACCAAATTTGCTATCAAAGAACTTCAATGCGTGGTAGTCTGATAAAAAACACTATTTGCGTGGCAAATTGGTAAAACAAATTACCAAAAACGTGAGTCTTGTCATTGTTCCGATTTTGTTCCTTTAGTTGGTATTTTTGTACAAATATTTAATTTTTGATCAATATAAAGTCGTATGTTCAAGATGATCGACAAATGATTTAATTTTAATTATATAATTTAGAAAGAATTTCACTTTCACCTCTTTCTGATTACGCCATGTAACACTTAATTCCATGACATTTTAAACTCATCAGTCAAACGGTACGCTTTGTAGTTGGAGTACGTATCACTTTTTTGTTGTTGTAAATAGAGTACGTATCACTTAATTACTTGAAACTCAACACTTTTATGATTGTATTGTGTATCATTTAACCTTGATGTTTCAAACTCATCACGCAGATCCATTATAATTATATCATATATCACGTAACCCCGATATTTCAAAGCCATTAGTTAGACCCATTATGATTAAGGGAATAACATCTCTCATTTTAAAGAATATAACTTTATATTATTTT